GCCAAATTTCACAGATATGACCACCATACCAAACCTGTTTCTTGGATTTTAGGATCTCATTTTCTAAGGGAGAAGAGTACAGAGAGTATTTGTCGGTCTTTAGAGATGCAGTTGCTCAACCCTCAGGGAGCATCTACTACATGCAAAGCTTTGGGAGGGTGTAGCAGGGTTTACCAATATGCAGCATCTCTGTCTGATGGGACTCACAGTAGTGCTTGGGAGATCCTAGCAGATTACTGTTAGAGAGCCTGGGGTGACCAAGTAGGTTGATGCCATTTTAGCTGAAACATGAACTGGAAAATTGGAATGTATGGTCACAACAATTACAGAGTAAAAGGAGATAGGCACCTGCAACAACAATCTTGTCATGTTATTAATTTGCTGCTTAAGTGACTAATTATAAATCATCCTTTAGATGATGCTGAATATGCATGAAGTCTGTACCTTCATCACGGGTGACATTTGGACCCATAAAATCTCTTGGGCTCAGTTAGTGGTGTCTTTAAGGTAACACTGAGGACGAAGTGGAAAACAAGGATGGGTGAGAAAAAAACGTGTATTTTAAAAATCGCCAGTAGCTTATTTTGCTTAGTAATGTGATGATGTCAACTTGAAGGTTAAAACTCACTAATAATTTAAGGCCATTTGTCATTTTTGCTGTTTCTCAAAACTGATGTATGCCACCCTGCAAATCTCTATACTTTTCTGAAATTAATCTTCCACGTGAACTAGTGTGTTTCTTTGTCCCAATGTGGGTTTCTTAAATAGAGTCATTCAAGAAACTTGAATAAGAACTAAAACACGGGATTGAACACTTGTGTTCTGCAAAAGCACGCCATTATCTGGCTTGTGCTGCACAATGCAGGAGCGCCTCACACTCCAGAGTTGGGAGGAACACAATAGGAGAATGCCTGAAATTAATTAGTGTTTCCAGCATGCAACAAAGATAAGATCCAGAAGCTTTTCTTACAGTGAGTGGCAGGAACATGTTCATATCTTCCTATCATGGGATCAGTTGTTGAGCGAGAGCTGGCTTAGAAACCTTTACCTTTTGCAGAGCACACATCAGTTAGAGGGGGCAGGAGGATGTGATGACATGAGTGACCAAAAATACATTTTCCATGGCTGATCTCACCACCAAGGGCAATTCAAATCACCCAAAACTAAAAATAATAAAAATATATATAAATAAATCATGTTCTTTCCATGTAGTGTAAAGTGTGAGCTTTACATTGATAGTGTGACTCAGTCTCAATTATTTCCTATCCAGCCTCAGGGGCAGACTAGAAGTCAACTTCCTGAGGAGGCTGCATGGGCAGTAGTGCTGAGCCCTGTCTCAGGACCCAGATCACATGGTCTGACTTTCAAACCTGCTGCTGTGTGCCCTATAACAAGCTCCTCATCTCTGTTAGATTCTCACAGTCCTCAAAAATGGAGGATCCAGGCCGGGTGGTGGCGCAATGGCTTTAATCCCAGTACTTGGGAGGCAGAGCCAGGCAGATCTCTGAGTTTGAGGCCAGCCTGGTCTACCAAGTGAGTTCCAGGACAGCCAGGGCTACACAGAGAAACCCTGTCTCAAAAAACCAAGATCAAAACAAACAAACAAACAAACAAAAAAATAGAGGAACCAGACCAATTTGCTTCCAAGGATCCTTCTAGACCTGGAGGTCCAAGGGAGATGCTCTCTCCCTTGTTCCATCTGAATGTGACATCTGAGACCTGCATTCAATGCTGTTAGGGAGCAGGCTAGTACCAGGACATACAGAAAAACAGATTCCCCCCAAATAAGACGTAAAGAACAATGAGTGGACCAGCTCAACGGCCTGAAAAGGGTTGTAAAAATAACTGTGGTGGTCAACTCCAGCTGGGCCAGCTCAGAGCCTCAAAAACAAGATATAAAGGGCAATGGCTGATAGTGGCCCATGCTAGCTAGATCATCTTAAAGCAACTTCAAGACAACGATGATGGGGGAATGTCTTTCTGTATGCTGCAAATATGTGTTACTCTGATTGGTTGACAAAGAAGGCCGTTTGGCCTATGACAAGGCAGCTTAGAGGCAGGCAGGAAATTCAAAGAGAGAGACAGGAAGAAGGAGAGGAGAGATGTCAGCGAGCCGCCCAAGGAGCTACATGTAATGGGACGCAGGTAAATCCACGGAACATGTGGCAATACATAGATTGATAGTTATGCACTAACTTAAGGTATAAGAGCTAACTAGCAAAAAGCTTGAGCCATGGGCTTATTAAAATTATATTTATAATTATATATAAATATATAAATATATAATATTTTTAAATATATTATAATTATAATTAATATAACTGGGACATGAGTAAGAGAGATTTGTCCCAACCTCCTGCAGGCTGAGACACAGGAAATCTTCCGGCTACACAACAATTCCAGGGAAGCATGTGGCAAAGTGTTGTTGCTTCTTCCTCTACTAAAGTTTTCAACTTTAGGGATACTTTAAGCCGTACATGTGCTCTTGCATCTTATATATTTATATTTATTTATAACAGACTGAATTCTGGGCAAAATGGGCTTCTGGGGAAAAGCATGTCCTTTTCCTCAAAATGAGGGAGACAGGGGAAGAGACAACAGGAGTATAAGTCCGTAGACTATCAGCATCCAGCAGATGCTTCTCTGCTCAGCCCACTCTTTTTCTGCAGTATATTCTTAGTGGGGGGTGCTATAGGGTAGATTTTTCTGTCCTACCTGCCAGCTCCCAAATAACCACATGGAGACTTATTATTATGAAAGCTTGGCCTATAGCTTAGGCTTGTTTCTGACTAGCTCTTTAACTTAAATAAACCCATTTTTATTAATTTATGTGCTGCCACATGGCTCATGATTTGTTATCTCATCTCCTACATGTTATGCTTCCTCTGTGTCTCACTGGCAACTCTACCTTCTTCCCAGAATTCTCTCTACCCTGAAAATTGTGCCTAGCTCTTGGCCATTTAGCTTTTTATTAAACCAATCACAGTGACATATCTTCACACAGTGTAAAGGAATATTCCACAGCAGAGTGCTCCCTGTGCCCTACCCCTATCTGAGAGCTAGTGGCAATTGGTGACTGCCATAAAAATAAAAATAAAAATAAATTTTAAAAAAAGGAGGATCTGAATTTGGAAGGGAGATGTTTTTGTAGGGGAGAAGAGCGGGAGGGGGAAGTGTATGTATGTGGAGGGGACGTGGCCAAGATGCAATATATAGCTATATGAAAATTTTCAAAGAAAATAGAATATATTCTTGCTTCCTTGCCTCTAGTTAAACTCTTGACTGTTTAACATACTGATGTGTTCTGTCTGAATCCATTCAGGAGCCCAAGAACCAAGAACATTGGGGTCAAGAGTGAAGGAAACTAGAGACCTGCCCATAATGAGTGATACAAGGATACAAACAGACTTACTATTGTTTGTTTTGTTTTTAGAGTTGTGTGTGCACATGTGCACACATATGAACGTGTGTGTCATGTGGGTGCAAGAGGAAGTCAGAGGACCAATTCAGGTGTAAATCTTCAGGCACTGCCCACCTTTTAAAGATTTTGCTTTTATTTATGTGTATCTGTACGAATGCATGACATTCATACATTCATACGTAAATGTGTATGACCACAGAGGCCAGAAGCTCCCGTGGAGCTGGAGTTTCAGGTGGCTGGGAAACAGCTGACATGGATGCTGGGAACTGAACTCACATCCTCCAGGAGAGCAGGAAGGGCTCTTAACCACTGAGCAATCTCCCCAGCCTCTAGCTGCAATATACTTTTGAAGTTAACACATTCTTTTTTTCTTTTACATATTTTTTTCCTTTACATTTTATAAGCTCTCTCACCTGCCTGGAACTCCACAATTAGACTTAGTAGGCTGACCAGAGAGGCCCGGGGATCTGCTGAGCCTGGATTTTTAAACGTGGGTTCTGGGGTTTGAGCTTAGTTCCTCTTGTAAGCACTTTGTTGACTGAGCTATCTTGGGAGCCCAGGTTTGGTCTGGTCAGATGTTTTGTTTTGAGACTGTATCTTACTGTGTAACTCATTGATTATTTTCACATCGCTGCTGACTAAGCAGCAGTAAAGGCCCATTAAAGGATGGAGTGTCTGGCCTAGGTTATCCAAGACATAAAAGAATTAATCCAGACAGGCTGGCCAATCACCTGGCCAAAGGACCACCCCTCAGGAAGGCAAAGCCACCCCAGGAAAGTGGGCTCACCTTAAGTCATTTTCCTTCCCAGAGTTCTTGCCCCTAGCTAGTCCAGCCATACAAGCTGCCATAAGGTTCTGGTTCCACCTACCTTTCTGAGTCAGAAAGAGGCAACTTTTCCTTTCTCCCTTTTTATGTTTTTGCTTTGGATGGTGGCCTGAAAGTTTGCTTTTTCTGGTCCTTTCGGCTTTCCTTACTCATTCTCTAAAGCTCCTTTGCTCACGAAGTGGTTACTTGTCTACCATGGAGCCCCTCCTTGCCAGCATAACTCACGTGGCATGCCTTTTTAGTTCCCTTTCTTTGTTCTCCAGAGAGCTGCAGCTTACTGTGGGGGTTTTTCCTTTTAAACTCTAACAAAATAGTTCTTTTTAATAAACTTTGGCTGTGCTTGACTTTCAAACGTTTCCTGCTTAATACTCCCTCACTTTCTCGTTTGTTACTTTTTATTGTCTGAAACTCCAGCCCACAGGATGGTGTCACCCACATGCAAAGTGGGTTCTCCTTCCTCCTTTAACACTTTCTAGACACATTCTTGCAGACGTGCCCAGAGGTTTATCTCCTCAGTGATGCTAAGTCTAGTGAAGTTGACAAGGCAGATGAACCATCCTGGGAGCCCAGGCTGAACTTGACCTGGAGATCCTCCTACTGTGCCTCCTCGGTGCTGGCGGTACAAGTGTGCACCTCCACGCCTACCTGACTCCTGTTTTTAATTGTGTAAGTCTCCACTTTCCTTCCTGGAGCTGTCCTGTGCATTCCATAAATGCTGCCCTAGGAGCTGCCATGTTCAGGACCCAGGTTAGTATTTAGCATAAAGTGCTCACTGTCCTAGATTTTATGATCACGTTGGGGTGGTGAGTGGGAGTAGGAGGCAGACAGCAAACAAACGATGACATCAGTACGCAACGCTGTGATGGGTTGGGGCAAGTGCTGTGAAGTAAAATGAGGCAAAAAGACTGTGGTGGTGGGGGTCTCATTTTAGGGTTTGCGGTGATCATGTTTGTTTCTACTTTTAAAAAACAGAGGTATAGTCTAGGCTGACTGGGGCTACATAGTGAGATCATATCTCAAAAAAAAGTGTAATTGGCATACTGCAAGATGCACACGGGTTAAGTGTTCAGTCAGGGAGCTCCGACAATTGTATAGGCCTGAGAGGATTTAAAAGCTTGTTGAAGGGGGAGAGGGATGTCTCAGTGGTTAGAAGCAACTGTTACTGTTCCAGATGAGCTGGGTTTGATTCCCACCACCCATGTGATGGCTCATACCTGTCTGTAACTCGGTTCTGAAGGGTCCAATGTCCTCTTCTGGCACCATGGGTACCAGGAACACACATGGTACACAGGCATACATACAAGCATAACACACAAACACATAAAATAAAAATAAGTCTAAAAATATAAATAAAATAGATAAACATCTGCAAATTATGTGCCACTCCCTCCATTCCTTTTCCTCAAATTTGCACTGGCATTAGTGACTTTCTTCCATTGATATGATTTCTAAAACTAAAACACCATGGCAACGACTCCACCTGGAAGTGTTTCTTGTTCACGCCCTCTCCCTTCTGCCACCAGTCTCTCCCTCTGTCCCTCCCTTCCCCTCTTTCCTCTCTCCCTTCTCCCTTCCTTTGCACCTCTCTTTCCCTCTTTCCATCCGTCTGTTCCTCAAAATCCATCCACTGCACTGTAGAGGAAATCAAGAAGCCACAGGGAGAAACCATGTGTAGATAGATGATCTTGCTGACGCTTGCCATACTGTGGTTCTGAAATGCCCCAAAGGTCCATGTGTTAAAAGTTTTAATGCCCTGTCCATAATACTATTGAAAGATGCTTAAGAGGTGGGGCCTACATGGAAGGCTCTTAAGAGGTGGTGCCTACAGGACTCTGGAGATGTGCCTTTGAAGAGGATGTTGAAATGCTTGCCCCTTACTCTCTCGTATTGGTTTAAATATTAAGGCAACTCCACGTAGTTAAAAGAGAGGTTTATTTTGTGGGGTAACTTACAAGTGAAGGGATAGGTTACAGAGTCTGGGAAAGGTGAAGCGCAGTCCAGCGGTGTTCTCTGGAGAACTCTGCTCGGTCTACCTCCAGCGTCCAGGATCCAGGAACCAAGAGAGCCGGCCCATCCGAATCTCGGGTCTTCAGGGTCCTCTCTTGGCTCCACCTTGTAGGCATGACAGTTACCGAAGCCTCAAAGGGAGTGATACTTCCAGGTCAAAGCTGGAACAGCTACCCACTACACTCTCTCTTCCTGGCCACCATAAGGTGAACAGTCTTCTCCACTATGTGTTTCTACCGTGATGTACTGTGCAGCCATAGGCCCAAAGCAGCAGGACCAAGTACCATGTGTTGGAAACTCTGAAGCCGTGAGCCAAAATCAACCCCTCTTCTTTGTAAGCTGATTATTCCAGGAACTTTGCTACAGTGGTGGGAAACTGATTAATGCATGGAGGCAGCCTAGGATGCAGGCAACAGGCAAAGTTGGGAGTAAGTCATCAGAATATTTCAGCCCCAGGGTCTTTAAGATTTTCAGCCGAGGCCCCAGGCATCACAGACTTCAGTCTCTGTGGCACCCTGTCTAAGTTCCTCTTCCACAGGAATCCTGAGAATATAGTTGTTTTTGAATAACTAAGTTTGAGGGCAATTTATATTTCGGCAATGGACAACAGAAACAATGCTCATGTAATTGTGGTGGGAAGTTCAGAACATTTTCAGCATTCTAGAAAGTTCCTCTGGGCCCATCTCAGTCAGTTCCCCAGTCAGCTCTTACTTTTTCTTTTACTAGCACAGTTTAATTTTGCTGATTACAGAGAAGAAAGATCTTTGAACAAAATACATTTTATTAGACGGCTTCAAAGAGTATGAAGGCAATTGATCCGTGCAAAAAGCCATGAGACAAACAGAGACAATACCCAAAGATCCATGAGATGGAGCAGAGGCAACATCCAGAGCAGAGGCTACAGGTGGGAGTGTGACTGGGGAGGGCAAAATAGACACCTAATATCAACCTTTAGCCTCCAGACCATGTATGGGTGCTAGTGTGTGTGTGCATGCACACACATACCTACACAAGTGAAAATGCACATGCCACACAGACATGCACATGCAAAGAAAGAGGAGGAGGAAAAGAACTTACTGAAGAAAAAAATCAATCAGAAACACTGGAAATGAACAATGTGATACATTAAATAAAAAATGCATCAGAAAGCTTCACTGACAGAATGGACTAAGGGGAGGGAAGAGTGTCCAAGGTTGAAGACAGAGTGGAAGAACTGACACATTTCTTTAAGGACACTGGTACATTTTTCAAATACATAAACAGAACACATAAGATCTTTGAGATATCATGAGAAGATCAAATCCACAATTCTGCCCATAGAAGGAGGAGAAGACCTCCCTACCAAAAGCATAGAAAACATACTAAATACAATTGAAGCAGAAAGTTTCCCAAACCAAGGGTTAGAGGGGCCCATCCAGGTGTAAAAGGCACACAGAGCACCAAGTAGGCAGGACCAGAAAAGAAACCCTCACATCATATTGTAGTGAAAAGTGCTAAATTTGCAGAACAAGAAAGTGTGTTGAAAGCTGTTGGAAGGAACGCCAAACCATGTATAAAGGTGGCACAATAAGACTCCACCAAAAATTCTTACCATGGCTAAACACTTCAGCACAGTGGCAGGAATCAAAATTAACATGAGAAAAAGATGTCTAGAAAGAAATTAGGGGAACAATTCCGTTCACGATTGCCACACGCACAAAAGTCACTTTAGAATAAACCTAAGTGGGGATGTGAAAGGGCTCTGCACTGAAAAATTTTAAAACAACTCAAGAGGGAAATGGAAGAAAACACTCATAGAAGATGAGAAGACTTCCCATGCTCAGGGGTTGGGAGAATCAATATTGTGAAAACAGCTGTCTTACCAAAAGCGATCTGCAGACTCAGTGCAATCCGCCTCAAAATTCTAATGCCATCCTTTACAGAAACAGACAAAATAAATCATTTAAAAGTTTTTTAAAGATTCATTTTTAATCATGTGGATTTGGGGGGTGGGTAGAGTCATGTGGAGTCCTTAAGAGGGTGTCAGATCCTCTGGAACTGGAGTTACAGACAGTTGTGAGCTGTAGGTACTGGGCGCTGAACTTGGGTCCTCTGCAAGGGCAGTACATGCTCTTCACGCTCACCCATCTCTCCAGCTCCATTTTTTTTCCAAACAGAGTTTCTCTGTGTAGCCCTGACTGTCTTGGAATTCCCTCTGTAGACAAGGCTGGTCTTGAACTCAGAGATTAGCCTGCTTCTGCCTCTTCTGAGTGTTGGGATTGAAGGAGTGAGCCACGCCTGCCTGGCTTCAAAAAAATTTAAAAGTCTCTTGGAACCACAATAAACCTCAGATAGAAAAAGTAATCCTGAGGGGATGAGGGAAGTTTGGAGGTATCATCAAACCTAATTTCAAGGTATATTACAGAGCCACAGTAACAAAATAATCAAACAAACATGGTAATGGCACACACACACACACACACACACACACACACACACACACACAACAATAAACCAACAAAAAACAAAACAAAACAAACAGAAACCAGACACATAAATCAATGGAACAGAATAGAAAAAGCAAATAAAAACTATAGCCATATAGTTTGAGAGCCAAAAAATACTCACTGGAGAAAAGAGAGCCTCTTTAACAAATGTGCTGGGAAAAATGGGTTATCTATAATGTAGGAGATTGAAACTAGATACTCATCTCTCACACCACACAAAAATCAACTTCACATGCATTAAAGATCTTAATGCAACCTCTGAAACTCTGAAACTGCTAGAAGAAAAAGAAAAGAAAACACTTCAAGATATAGACATAGGTAAGGACTTTCTGAATGAGATGCTAGTCGCTCAGGAAATATTGCCAACAATTGACAAATGGGACTTGATGAAATTAAAAGGCTTTACAGCAAAGGAAAGGGTTAATGGGGTGAAGAGGAAGTCTACTGAATGGGAGAGGATCTTTAGCAGATAGACACATGGAAGGGGATAAATACCTAGACTACACAAAACAAACCTGATTATCAAGAAAATAATCCAATCAAAAGATAGGCTGTGTAGCTGAACACAGAATTCCTAAAAGAATAAATACAAATGGCCAGTAAATAATATTCAATGTCCCTAGCCATCAGGGAAGTGCAAATTAAAATTGTTGTTTGATTCCAATTCACCCTAGTCAGACTGGTTATTCTCAAGAAAACAAAGGATAATAAATGCTGTCATAGACATGTGGAAAGGGAAATCATCATTCATTGTTGATGGGAGTACGAACTGGTGCAGCCACTACAGAAATCAGTGTGGAGGTTTCTCAAAAAAAACTAAGAGAGGGGCTGGAGAAATGGCTCAGAGGTTAAGAACACTGGCTGTTCTTCAAGAGGTTCTGAGTTCAATTCCCAGCACCCACATGGTGGCTCACAACCATCTGTAATGAGATCTGACTCCCTCTTTTGGCCTGCAGGGATACATGCAAACAGAACACTGTATACATAATAAATAAATAAATCTTAAAAAAAAAAACTAAGAGAAATGCCACATGACCCAGGTATACCACTCCTAGACATACACACAGTAGGCTGTGCTGTGGAATAATCCTTTTGTGAAGATTTGTCACTCAGATTGGTTTAATAAAGAAGCTGACTGTCCAGTAGCTGAGCAAATAAAGTTGGGTAGGAGAGCCAGACTAGGAGAATTCTGGGAGGAAGAAGGGCAGAGTTGGAGGAGGGAGACATAGGGAGCAGCAAAACGGCCATGCCATGCTGAGAGAAGGTACCAAGCCACGTGGCAAAGTGTAGATGAGAAATGTGGGTTAATTTAAATGTAAGAGTTAGCTAGTAACAAGCCCGAGCTATTGGCCAAGCATTTGTAATAAATATAAGCCTCAGTGTGTTTATTTGGGAGCTGGTGGCAGGACAGAAACTTCAGCCTACAGGACTCTACATCCTAGCACAGAGATACTTGCTCACTCCTATTTGTTACAGCTCTTCACAATAGCTAGAAAATGGAATCAGCCATGATTTCCAGGAACAGATGAGTGGATAATGAAAATGTGATACATACATGCATAGAATTTTATTCTGCTTTAATGAAAAATGAAATTATGAACGTTGCAGAAGAATTGATGGAACTGGGAAATACACTAAACGAGGATCCAGGCTCAGAGAGACAGTCATTGCTTCTCTCTCATATGTGGATCACAGGTTTGAAATTTCAGATTTATATGTTTAAGTTGGAGTGACTGTAGGGGCAAGGAGCCTAGATGGGGTGATGAACGGGAGAAGGCACTAAGGAAGGGTATAGTAGAACATAATGTGATAGGAAAGTAGAGGGAAAGAATACTGGGGTGGAGATGTTTAAGTGAGGATGGGGTTAGGAGGGAAGAAGGAGGTAAGGAGATGAGAGTTAACCAAAACAAGGATGCATGAAAGTGTCCTATGGAAACCTACTACTTTGTAAACTGTTAAAAAATGGACTTAGAAAAAAAATTAGAATGGAAGGGTAAAGGACCATAACTCTTGGTTGAGACAGCACCTCTCCTTAATCCAATGCTAGAGCCCCCACTGGCTATTAAATAGGACCTGAGGAGTTAGTGTTTACCTTTTTCTTTTCAAAGAAACAGTTTTGCCAGAAACTGGGGGAAGGCTTCAGTGAAAGAGAAGACAGAAGAACAGCTCACTGTTCAATCTTCATGGCCTGTGGAAAGAACCATTGATTAAAAGCCACAAGGACAGTATTGTCCATGTTGAGTAGACTTGGGATCCTTGAAAAACCACTCAGCCTGGGAGGACTATCAAACCCAGATCTGGAATGAACTGGAATAATGCGGCCTACATTTTGAGGTGTTTTGTGTGATCTCAGGGTCTGTTTTGGCTGTTTTCCTAGCTCCCAGCTTGGACTGTCACCTACACTTCAGCTTCACAAAGAGACAGTCCACTAGCTTGTGGTATGAGAAAATGCTAATTGCTTATTGGAGAAAACAATGTACTAGTTATGTACATTCCATGACTCACCCATGCACAAGGTGACTCAACTCCCAGATGTCCTCTTGCTGAACTCTGGCCCTTTGAGATTCAGCCCAAAGGCTCTGTCCTTATCTAAGCTTGATAATATCTATTATCAAGCATCCTAGGCAACTGTCAAGTATCTTCAGATGCTGGATAACATGCCTAGTTCTAGGATTCCAGTGTGTATGTTTGTATGGTCCTGAACCTGAACATTTAACCACTACATGGCTCAGCCTCTCTGGGGATGCTCCTCTTTCAATACTGAGCACATGGCATGATATAGCAAACCATCAGTTGTCCTGCAAGGCTCCTTACTCTTCTTAGCAGCATGTGTCAAGATGGAGATGGTTTCCCAACATATTTTAAGCAAGCTATTGCTATATAACAGAATACGAGAAGGAACTCTCCTTTCTAGGACTTCTACTTTTACTGCCTATGGGCCCGGCTTGGCCACACACACCAGTATGGTACCCTGGTGATGGTGGAAGAGCAAAATGGAAAGAACTCTGGCTTCTGAGTTCTGAAGTCAGTCTAAACCAAGTGAACAGAGCCACCTGCTAAGCCTGGGACTAATCTGTGGTTAGAGAACAAGTTTCAGGATTCCCTAAGTCACTGTATTTGGCTGCCCACTTGTCCTAGCTGTTGAAACACCACTCTATAAACAATTCACATTCAGGTGATCTATTCTTCTCCCCACCCCCATGAGACAGACAAGTCCATGAGGGCAGAGACTGAATCCATCTTTCTGTATCTGGCCTGGAGTAGAAGCTGGCACACGATAAGTCCTCCTTGATGGATGCACCTATGGAATGAGTGGTTGAATAAATGATTACTATACTGTTGCAGAAATGCCAACGAGAAGTGTTTGTGCATTAAGACTAGATGCAGGCATAGAAAGACTGGTCCTCAGCCAGATTCTAGACCACATGCGTAACTGGCAGCATCTTTGTGGGACTGGAGGGAGGGATGCAGCAGATTTTGGTGGATTTTGAAAGGTGGTAATGTGTGGACTTGCCAGTGCTAGGAAGGCCTGCCAGCAGAACCCCCTGAGTACCGTTTAGTGACCACTGTGGTGATTAAATACAGCATACTGCACAGTGGTTCCCTAGCTCTTTTTCCAACATGTTCTCCTGGTTGAGTAGCTTTGAATCCAGGAAAGCAAGAGATGGCAGAGGTACTGTCCGTCAGTATCATCTGTAGCCATCTTCGAGCTGCCAGCATGACAGCTGGGGAAGAGTAGGATCAAGTTGACTGGCAGAATGCTTTAATCTAATGAGTTTGTGCACAATGATAGTATAATAAATAAGGCTCTAGAGGAACTTGGTTATCACTTGCATTCCAAAAGTGAGATATGGCCTTACCAGAAGCTCACAGAGCCATCTGTCATCAAATATCAGTCTCTGTGTCAACGGCTGGCCTGGCCTGGGAAATGGAAAACATCAGCAGAGGGAGGTACATGATGACACCATGTCTTTCAGAAAGACTTAAAGGGAGCTAGCTCAAGGAGCCAGAGATTTCCAGATGATTTTGAAGTAAATATCTACAGCCACTACCTAAAGCAGTTGGACTTGAAATCTTAGCTGCTGAATGCCAATGAGCCTTTCCATTGGACAAGTTCTGCCTGTCAGTTGGGTTAAGTTATTGAGTAATATCGTTCTTATCTGCCTGGATTTGGGGCTGGAATTATTGTGATCATTTTTAATGTGTTTTTGCCAGCTTTATCCAACTGATCCAATGAAATCTGACTGTCACCAGACACTTTGCTAAGGATACAACCATTGGTGACAGGGATATCGAAAGTGGACAGAAGCTTGAGAATTAAATAAAAGCTGTTAGGATGTTCAGTTGCTTGGTTTTTTTGTCTTTTTTGTTGTTTGGGGAAAAAGAAAGAAAGAAAACTAGAGCCGAAATGAATCTTGTCAATCAATAACACAACTAAATGCTGAGCATAGCAAATCCAATGGTAATGGATAAAGTCAGAGAGGAAAGGGAGGTACACTGATCACTTTAAAAGAATTTGAAAGTAGGGAGGTACACTGATCACTTTAAAAGAATTTGAAAGTAGAATAACAATTTATTAAAAGGAAAAACATTCAAGAATAACCAAGATCTAGTGGCAGCAAATACAGGTGACTGTGTGGGGCTTAAGGTCTCCAGCCAAGACTCATCTTCTTAGGATTTATGCCTAGACAAAGTGAGGGCAGTTACAGGGATGGATTTCTAGGGACAGGATTCAATGAACTTAGTTTTAGTGATTTATAGAATTCACCTTAGAATTGGTTTCTCTGTTGAGAACTACTGTTGTATGATACTATGCCTGAGAAGATGAAAACTAACGTCTATTCACTCAGATAGGGAATTAATGAGAGATAAAAGCCAGGATTGGTAAACCAATATTTTATTATGGAAAGTTTCTTATAAGAGTATGGGTGAGGGTTTACTTACAGGAGCAAATATGACTCAAAGACAGTTGCGTCACCAGAAGCCCACCCATTGTAACAGGTGACAGTTCACAGAGGCTGGAAGTCTGGAGTTCACTGCACCACCTGCAGGCGGCATTGTTGCTAGAGTTTTCCTGCCTGGCCCACAGTCAGGATAAATCTCTGCCACCCTCCAGTCCCACAACCGCTCAGACCCGACCAAATAAACACAGAGACTTATATTGGTTACAAACTGTATGGCCGTGGCAGGTTTCTTGCTAACTGTTCTTACAGCTTAAATTAATCCATTTTTATTAATCTATACCTTGCCACGTGGCTCGTGGCTTACCGGCATCTTTACATGCGGCTTGTCATCATGGCGGCTGGCAGTGTCTCTCTGACTCAGCCTTCCACTTCCCAGCTTTATTCTCCTCCTTGTCCCGCCTACACTTCCTGCCTGGCCACGGGCCAATCAGTGATTTATTTATTGACCAGTCAGCAACACATTTGACATACAGACCATCCCACAGCACGGCATGGCAGGTTAGAGGTTAGAGCTTGACTCTTCTGGTAGTTCAGCTGGTCTGAGCCACTATTGGGAAGCTCAGCAGGACTGAGACTCTCAGAGTCTAGCTGCTTACATAACCTTGGGGGCAGAGGAGACTAGTGAATCTGCTCAGTTTCAGGGACTTTCTGAAGCTTTTGAGTTGTTCACCTACCCTGTAGGGTGGAATGTTTCATCTCCCCCTTAACATAATTATAAGTCTCCCTTTCTTCCCTCCAAACCCTCCCAGATACCACTCCCCACTCTCCTTTAGCTTTGTGGTCTCTCTTTTCATTAATTGTTATTGCACACACACACATTCCTAAATTTAACTTGTTGAGTTTATAAAATGTTATTTGCACATGTGTTTTCAGGGCTCTTTGACACTGGACACCCATCAGTGTGCTCTTCCTTGGAGAAGACCACTTCTCCTCCCAGCTTTCCTCAGTTTCCTATAGTCTTTGTGTAGGGTTGAGGTTTTGTGAGCTCTTCCCCATCCACTTTGGTATGTTCATTAGTGTCATCCACATTTGGGCAGTCACCTTGGTGAAACTTTATGGGTGTAGCTTCTCATGTTACTAGGTGATAACTATTAAAGTCACTTTTAGGAAGGGAGATAGGAAGGAAAAGGCAGATGGAAGTGAGGCAGGAGATGGTGGATAATGTACAGAAGCTGTGCATTCAGGGTTTTGATCACTTTTTCACAACATGGTTATTTCTTCTATATTTTACTAACTAGGAATATGATAAAAGAAAGTGCTTAGCCAGTTTCATAATTACTGTATGTGGTAGTTTGAATGTAATTGGCCCCCATAATCTCATAGGGAGTGGCATTATTAGTAGGTGTAGCCTTGTTGAAGTAGGTGTGGCCTTTTGGAGGAAGTGTGTCATTGTGGGAGCAGGCTTTGAGGTCTCCTATACTCAAGCTTTGCTCAGTGTGATACTCAGACCACTTCCTGTTGCCTTTGATTAAGATGTAGCCAGCACCATGTCTGCCTGAATGCTGCCATGCTCCCCACCATGATGATAACGGACTGAACCTCTGAACTGTAAGTGAGCCACCCCAGTGAAATGTTTTCCTTATAAGATTTTCTATGGTCTGAACTTCTGAACTGTAAGTGAGCCACCCCAATTAAATGTTTTCCTTATAAGATTTTCTGTGGTCATGGTGTCTCTTCACAGAAACAGAAATCCTAACTAAGAGACTGTAATTCTAAAGTCCCTTCATCTGTACATTTTCAAAGATTAACCAATCACACAAACTCAGGGAGTCTTCTGTTAGCAGTTCACAGTTCCTAGATCCACAATCATCATAAATACTCTAGAAAGTAAACACAGATACTACAACTTTGGGTCCTATCATCATAAATACTCTAGAAAGTAAACACAGATACTACAACTTTGGGTTCTATCATCATCATAAATACTCTAGAAAGTAAACACAGATACTACAACTTTGGGTCCTATCATCATAAATACTCTGGAAAGTAAACACAGATACCACAACTTTGGGTCCTATCATCATAAATACTCTAGAAAGTAAACACAGATACTACAACTTTGGATCCTATCCAAGTTAAGAGAGAAAGAGAGAGGGAGAGCAAATCCACAGATGAATACTTTACTTTCTTTTTACTTTTTATGTTTGATACACAATACAAACAGACATGAGATTTTCTACATAATGTCTTAGAACTTAGTTTTCTGATTTTAGCTTCAGATTTTAATTGCATCTACTCTTCAAGTGTACTGGAGTTCTGACACCTGATTAATAAATCAGCCTTTTTATTCCAGTTCTATCTGGTGTTCTGCATCACCTGCACCCATGTCAGCATCATCTTGAGAAACAAATTTTCAAGACTTGGATACAAAATCCTTGATGAATGATCTTCATCGGAGGCTCTGGGAGCAGCTGAGGTGGGCAGGACACCTCAGGCCAGGACTTTCCGTAATGTATGTAAAAAACTTGAAAAAGTCAACTCATAATCAAATTGTTATATGATCCAGCAATCCTACTTCTGGATATGACCACCTGCTAGAGTGGGAAAAAAATCAGGAACAGCAGAGAGATATTTATACGTTTACAGTCATAGCATCATTCCTCACAAGTCAAAATGTAGAAGGAACCTGGCTGTTCATCCATGAACAAATGGCTACATACAATGTGGTCTGCATGTGGGACAGAATGTTCTTCAGCCTCAGAAAGGAAGTAAATTCTGCTTCAACATGAATAAAACTCGAACACATTGTGCAGGGTGAAATAGGCCACAGAAAGGAACAGGTACTGGATAACTGTCAGATACCTAGGGTGGGAAGACTCAGAAAGACAGCAAGTTAAAATATGGTTGTCAAGAGGTGAACAGAAGTTACAGTTGAACTCTGGTGTCAGTTCTGGAAAGTGAATGTGCTCAACCCTGACTCTATACTTTGTAGTGGTTAAATCAGTAAAGTGTATTTTTGTTTGTTTGTTTGTTTAGTTCGGTTTTTTGAGACAGGGTTTTTCTGTGTAGCTTTGCACCTTTCCTGGAACTCACTCTGTAGCTCAGGCTGGCCTGGAACTCAGAGATCCACCTGCCTCTGCCTCCCGAGTGCTGGGATTAAAGGCGTGAGCCACTACCGCCCGACGAAGTGTATATGTTTTATCAAAGTTTTTTCTTTTTGTTTTTTTGAAACAGGGCTTCACATAGCCCAGGTTGGCCTCAAACTTACCATGTACCCAAGGATTCCTTTGAGCACCTAGTGATATTGCCACTCCACCACCCAAGTGCTGGGATTATAGGCATGGTGATACATGCCTGATTTATGTCATATTGAGGATTGAACCAGGGCTTCATGCATGCTAGGCAAGTTAGCACTCATCCAAGCCCTCTCACACCTTCAGGGCTGGCCTACCTGTGCCTGTCTACAGCGTCAGCTCTACTGTGCTTCCCAGGCAAGGCACAGGGCCCATTCTCCTGAGTGCGGCCGCTGGTTATCGGGTTGGGACAGGTCCCCCACCAGCTGCAGGTGTTGAGTGAGATGGGAGGAGGGCATCTTTCCCTCACCCATGCCACCACATAGCAGATGAGAGGGGCATGACCTGCTCTCCAGTTCTCACACCTTCAGGGCCAGCTCGCCAGGCCCCTGAGAACAGGGTCAGCTCTATTGTGCTGCCCAGGTGAGGTGTAGGATCTTCTCTCCTGAGCCCTTCAGCTAGTGAGGGGCAGGGCCAGTTCTCCCTAGTGCTGCAGCCAGTGAGGGGCGGGGCCAACACTGTACAACCCTACCCCTCGGCCTTTGGTGGTATCAGGAGCCTCGGACCGTGGCTGCATTCAGGGCTACAAACCCAGACATAGGCCCTGGCAGTAGCCCCGCCAAGACATCACCATGGTCCTGGGTGGCAATTAAGCCACCCACTTCAGCCCGCTCTTCACCTTTTTCACCTCTTCAGATATGCCTCTGTCCACAGGACATGGACCATTCTGTGTCTCTTTCTCTACCATACCACTCCATACATTTACTCACCATAATAGTGCCCATCTTCCTGGTGCCACAAGGCACTGGGTAGGCTGTGTTTTCTCCTTGGAGCCCAGGACAGTCTGCCCCAGACCTGTGTGTGGGTCTCTTTGCTTCATTCAATCAATAATGTGGATTGATGGAAGTTCAATTTCTTAAAGGGAACTGCAAAAACAATGACTTTTTTTTTTTTTTTAAATAAAGGATCCAGTTCTTGTTTTAAAAGTTGTGTTCAAAGGTTTGATAGTTGTTCAGTGAGGACTTAGGAAACTTTGAGTCTTACCACTCTAAATTTAAGCTGTACATGACAAGCTGGCTATGCATAAAAGGAAGAGTATTGGTCAGGCTGGGCTAACTTGTCCTCTCTGTCACAACCTTCCTGTTAAGTGATCTGACTGTCCATCAGCAAGGGAGATCTGCTCATTCTGGTCACTTACGGCCAGGGCTGTCTCCATTTTGTGACACATGCCCATGACTACTCATCTAGCACACGGAGACTCACACATGGTTCTTAAATTTTTAAATTTGAATTCACAGTTGTTCAAAGCGAGTCAAACATTTCCCTTCAGTACTTGCCAACTCTTCCCCAGTTCCTTGTTTTCCTTTTGCATCTAAGCTGTTTTCTCTTGGATGCCTGTCATAGGGTTTCCAAGTGTGATAAAACACCATGGCCCAAAGAAAGTTGCAGAGGAAGGAGCTCATCTGGCTTACTCTTCTACATCACAGTCCATCATCAAAGGAAGTCAGGACAGGAACTCAAGCCAGGAACATGGAGGCAGGAGCTGATGCAGAGACCAGGAAGCAATGCTGCTTCCTGGCTTGCTTTCTGTGGTAAGACTTATTCCACAGACTTTAAAAAAATTCAAATACTTAGAAAGCTGTATCTTTAAAACATCTGAAGTCTCTTTCAACATTCAGTCTCTCTGAAAATCCAGTCTCTTTAAAAGTTCAAAGTCTCTCAACTGTGGGATCCTTTAAAATAAAAAAATAAGTTAGAAACTTTCTTATTCTGGGAGGGAATAACCAGGGCAGTCACAGTCAAAGCAAAACCAAAATCCAACAGTGTGAAGCTCAAGGCAGATTTCTGGGACACTCAGTCCTCTGAGCATCAACGGGTGTGGCAGTTCTGCTTCTCCAGCTCTGCCTTCCACGGCACACACAGCTCATCTCATTAGCTCAAGCCAGCTCTACACCACACCTGCTGCTGTGTGGGGTTGTTGTCTCATAACACTGGCATCTCCAAAATGCTGGGGTCACCTGCTCCAACTGGGCTGCACAGTCACCACCAGCCTCTTCTGAGCTCTCTCCAGGGACTCTGACCTTGCCACATGGTGCCAAAGTCTCAACTTCTCTCCATCCTGGAGCCCCTACTACACCTTCAGCAGTGGCTTCTCCTGATCTCTCCCTGTGTCAAACCTCAGCTGCTCTCCATGACCCATTCATGCCTTCAAAGCAGTACTACCTGGGAGTGAGTCTATTAGACATGACCACGTTTGACTGCCAGCACAAGGTACGGCCTCGACTCTCTCTGGACTACAGACTCTGTGTGCTGACTTTGAGGAAATAATTCCCAGAAGATTGTGCCTCAATAATGATGGTCTCTTCTTAATCACAGATGATTCTTCAGGCTGATCTGACCAGCGTCCATTGCAAAGGTTTCACTTTAGTGATTCTGCTCTCTTGTAAATCACAGCAGGTTATTCAACCCTAGCTGCCTAGAACCACATGTTCTTAATGCAAAACACCACACAAATGGCTCCAGTAGTCTTTGCTTCCCTCTAAAACATAAGCCAGGCCACCACCATCTACATCACTCTGAACCTTCTTATCTTCCAAGCTCCCACAGAACAGGCCATTAAACCCTGAGTGCTCAATGGCTTTTCTAGCTCTAAGTTCCAAAATACTTCCACAGTCCTCCCCGAAACATGGTCAGGTCTACCATAGCAATATCCCACAGATCTGGTACCAATTTCTGTTTTAGAGATTCCATGCCTGTGATAAAACATCATGACCAAAAGCAACTTGGGAGGAAGGATTTACTTCATCTTACGGCTTGTAGCCCATCATCCAGGGAAGTCAGGGCAGGAATGTGGAGGCAAGGATGGAAGCAGACACCATGAAGGAATGCTGATTGGTTAAAGCACTCCCACTCTCCCCCCAACTTACTGCTCAGTTGCTCTACCATATGACACAATATAAAGACCTTGCCATACTCTGACACCCACAAAACTCTAAGAATTTCTGTTCTACACGTTATTCCCCATGGTTTTCTCAGTAGACTTTCTTATACCACCCAGGACCATGTGGGATGCCACCTCTGTGGGATCCCAAGCACAGTGGAATGTGCCCTCCCACATCAATATGTTATTATCAATGTTAATAAAGAAAACGCCCCACAAACTTGCCTACAGGCAATCCAATGGAGGCATTTTCTCAATTGAGATTCCTCTTCCAAGATGACTCTAGTTTGTGACAAGGTGACAAAAACCTAGCCAAAGACCACTTTTGACCAATGTTTCTAAAATGAGAGACTTTGATGATGTGGTCCCCTTCTGACTCAAAACACTTGAGAAAGTAACTTCTAGAAAGCTTTTCCAGTCCTAAAACAATCCAACTCTTTCCATTGTGTGTCGTAGGCCATGATCTTATGTACTTTTTGTCTGTCTGTCTTAGGCCCTTTCTGCTGCTATCATAAAATACCTGACTCTAGGTAACATGTAGAACAGAAATTCTTACAGTTCTGCAGGTGCCAGCATCTGGCAAGGTCTTCATGCTGTATCAAATGGTAGAGTGACTAAACAGTGAGTCAGGGTGGAGTGGGCCAAACTTAATCCTTTAATTGAAAACTCATTTCCAAGAAAATGTCATTAATCTATGACCTGATCTCTTAATGGTCTCCCTTCTTAAATCTATTTCAAAGATATCAAATTTCAACGCAGGTTTTAGAGAGAGCACGCAAACTATAGCAACAATTATGAAGACTTAACTCTCATTTTCCCATGATAGTAAAAAGAAGGAAAAACAACGTTGGATATGAAGCTAAAGTGTTCTGAAAAGTAATAAGATGCTGTATAAGTCAGGGTCTCTGGATGAAAAGAACTGATAGAATGAAAACCACACAGAGAGAGAGAGAGAGAGAGAGAGAGAGAGAGAGGGAGGGAGGGAGGGAGGGAGGGAGAGAGAGAGAGAGAGAGAGAGAGAGAGAGAGAGAGAGAGAGAGAAACACAATCTAACTGGGAATGGCATGGGCTTTAGAAACCTCAAATCCCTCCCCCCTCAACACATCTCCTCCAATAAGGCCACACCTCTCAACCCTTCCCAAACAGTCCCACCAACTAGGGACCAAGCATTCAAATATATTAGCTTATGGGAGTCATTCTCATTCACCACAGGGTCTTATGTAGCTGATACTGGCCTTGAACTTCCAATCCTCTTGCCTCCATCTCCCAAGTGCTGAAACGACAGGGTGGCTGGACAGCTCAGGATGGCCTGGAAACCACCATCCTGCTTTTGCCATGTGCCATTACATTGGCTCCCCCTAGCACTCGCTGGTGCTAGGGATTAAGGTTCCTGAGCTTCTCTCAGCTAGGCAAGTGCTGTACTACTCAACTACTCCCCAGCCCATGTTCACATTTCTATCATGCAATTTCACTTGAATAATAGTCTCTGTTTTCCCCTTTAACAACTAGCAAACTTAGAAGGGTATTTTTATGTTGGGAATTATACATAAACACACAGTGCAATTTATTTAAAGACTTTATTTCCAGCATGTAACAGCTTATGTGTCATAAAAATCATCAAAGTCATCAGACATGTTATGGTCTCTAGGACGAAGAGCAGCTTCGATTTCAGAGTTACTGTCATCAGACTCCCCCCAGAAGGCTGGAAGAGAAAAGCACATGGCTCATTAACATTTTTGCACTCTCTAATAGAGAGTTTTCAAAACAGCAAGGCAACTGCTTAGCTGGAGCACTGGCTTGCCAAAGGTCTGACTGCACCGCGTCACCTGCACAAATGTACACATTGCATGCTATGCTCTTTACATTATTCCAGAGCAACCCTTGAAGAATCTTTCTTTTTACCCTTCATTATGTCCAACTCTTTATTATAGCATAGACATTAAAACCTACGTTACCTGGAATGACACCACCCCATTGTGGCTGCTGCTTCACTTTTATCTGCCTGTTTTTGTTTTTGTAAGAGTAGATCAGAAAAGGGGAAGACTTGGTAAAACAAAAATAAGCAATAGTGATTGGTTGATCTGAACACTTATCATTTATTTGGGAGGAGATCTTAGTAGCCATGGTGAGGAGAATAAGAGAGTGTGGGAGAGTGACCCAGGAAGAATGGAAGCTGGTGAAAGGTATGGGTGCTGGACAACTGGGATTCAGTCCTTTTGAGGATCCTCTGGAAGACTGTATAGAGCTTTCCTCACAGTATTTACTGACCCATTATCTCCTAACCCTAGCTGCCAACTCTCTGGTCCTCTGTAAGGGCTTCACATGTTTGTATGCCTAACAAAAGCCCTGGGTCAGAGATACAACTGTCTTATGTAGAAGGCCACAGGCACACCTGTCTGTTGGAGCTGACAGGGTATGGGAGGGCATCATCAGCATCTTCTGCCTTGCAATCAGATAATTGACACCTACAGAGAATAACCAGGCAGCTTTTAGATGGCTTCTTTTAGAGGACCCCAGTTGACCCTTTCACCAAGCTGGTTAGAACACTATTAATGTCTGTACATTACTGAGCAAACAGAAGCTCAACAAGGGTAAGCATCTGGCTACAATCATGGCATCAGTGGTGGTCCAGCTCAGTTACACCCAGGCCATCTGATTCATACCTGTGTTCTCCATTACTACCAGTGGGTGATGAGAGGAAAGGAGACCAAAGAACAGAGCCCAGGCATGGGAGGGAAGTGTCCCAGTGTATTGTGGGAAGAGGGCGAGAGCATCACTGTAGGTTGGGTGCTGAAGGATGAAGAGGAGTATTATAACTGTAATTCTTGCTAGATAACTGTTTTGTTATATGTAATTTTACTATGTTAAAGTTAAAACTTCCCTTTTGTTTAGACATAAAAGGGGAAGTGATGGGGGAATGTCTCTTTGTATGCTGTGAATATGTGTTGCTCTGATTGACTGATAAATAAAATGCTGATTGGCCAGTAGCCAGGCAGGAAGTATAGGCGGGACAAGAGACGAAGAGCATTCTGGGAAGAGGAAGGCTGAATCAGTAGATGCCAGCCTGCCATCCAGGGAGCAGCATGTAATGGCACACAGGTAAAGCCACAGAACACGTGGCAACATATAGATTAACAGAAATGAGCTGAGTTTAAATGTAAGAGCTAGTCAGTGGTAGGCCTGAGCTAATGGCCGAGCAGTTTTAATTAATATAAGCTTCTGAGTGATTATTTTATAAGCAGCTGCAGGGTCTGTGGGGCTGGGCAGGAAAGGAGAAAACATCAGCTACAGAGGAGCTCAGAGCTTAGGAGGAAAGAAAAAGAACTTCATATAAAGGAATAGCATGAGCAAAGGCATAGAGGCAGGGGCATAGCAAAGTCAGAAGCATGTGTGGTCTTGTAAGGAAAGAACTGGCACCAGGATACCATGGGAGGAAATTCTATTATGTGCCACTGCAGTTTGTGAGAGATGGTGGAACTGGTAAGTAGCAAGTGAAGAGAGTAAATCCAGGTTAAATGCTAGTGGCCAAGTAGGGACAGGGGGGACTGGGTGTGGAGAAGTCAGTCAAGGTTGCTACAAGAGTCCTACAATAAATACTCATGGGCTCTGCCTTCAGGGCAGGGAAAGACAGATGAAGCACTCCGGAGGTAGAAAGCACCAATTCTGACAATCAATTCCAAATAAACTGTACTACTGCTGTGACTCATGGCACTTTCACGGTCCTTGCACTGAAGACCTTGTTCATAGGCAGCTGTGTGGGCTGTCCCTTCCCTGAACTCACAGACATGTCACAGTCTTCACACAAGGACACAGAAGACAAATACACAACATAACTCTTTTGGTTAAGATGAGAAATGACAACTGGTGTCTGTTTATTTCTTACCATTCGACTTTATAGTGGTCACTGTGTCCCTTTTGCTTTCATGCCTATAAAAGAAGAAAGTGAAAATCGACAGCCGGTCTTAACAGTTTCACAGGGAGCTGTTTGGGAAGAAGCGGTGGTGTTTATGGTAAGAAGTTTTATACTTCCTTCCCAGGCTTGAAAAGCATAAAAGTGTCAAAGCTCAGAGTGGCCAGAGGCATCTGCTGAGGGAGCACTGAATTGCCAGTCTCACCAGCCTCCAGGGTGCTCCTCTTGGCAGCCCTGCCCTGGGGGAGTCCTGCGTGCTGTGGGTCCTGCTGGAGGGTGATCATAACAGCATGAGGCAGAGGATGATTTCTGTTCAACAGTCCTCTGGGGAACACTATGTATGAAGTATCAGTGCTTTTGAGCAAACTCAAAGTGGAATAGCTGAAGAGAATTCAAGATGTTGGGGAGGGTGTTATATAATACCTCAGTCAAATCAGCAACAACAATGCTAACAGCTTAACAAAAGCAGTCACAGTAAACACTGTGGGAAACAGCAAGTGTTCTGGGCATCCAAGTTTAGGTTTCTGTGTATCCACTGATACAAATGCTTGCATCTATCTATGGCTTTTGGTACCTACTGGCCTCCTCTGATGAATATAAGAGGGCAAGATAGTGGCTCCCTGGAGTGGGATTTCTCAGTGTGCCTTTCCAGGGCTGTATGCAATTTAATGAATGTAAAGAGCCCTTCTGAGAGCATCACTTACATTCTGTATTGTACCTAGCAAGTGTCATGCCAAGAGACAAATGGTCAATGGAGACACTAGGGGAGAAATTTACTTTTTCTTTTTTTTCTTTTTTCTTTTTTTCTTTTTTTTTGGTTTTTTTGAGACAGGGTTTCTCTGTGTAGCTTTGTGCCTTTCCTGGAACTCGCTTTGGAGACCAGGCTGGCCTCGAACTCACAGAGATCCGCCGGCCTCTGCCTCCCGAGTGCTGGGATTAAAGGCGTGCGCCACCACCGCCCGGCGAAATTTACTTTTTCTATACAAGGTATCACCATTGCCCTCTCATGGCCAGGGCCCTGTTCACCTTGATGGGAGAACTTTTCAAATTCATTCCCACTTGGTCCAAGTCTTGACAACCTGCAGCTTATACATATGCTTTCTAACACAGGCACCACAGCAAAACAGGCTCCACTAAAGGTCCATTTTCCATGCTCTACAGTATCATGTAACACTATCTTGGCATTTGGTGCCTGCTGCTGACTAGGATCCAGCAATAGAGCCCATGGCCATTCTCCATAAAGAGCACAACACCCTTGTGACCATCAGAAAGGGGCCACCAGATAGTTAATAGTCAAGCTACCATGGGGGTTGGATCAACAAAGTGAGCCTCAAGAATATCCTTTTTATGTAAGGTATGTACACACACAATGAATCCAATGTGTGTTGTGATACTGTTTACCTACTCCCATTACCTAAGTGCTAGCTAGATAGTTGGGCTAGGTGCCGGGAGGCAGAGGTAGATTGTAAAAACTCTGGGAGACACAGTCTTCAGACAGCTGTGGTATGAATAATAAGGGGAATAGGAAGAGGGTCACCCCTATTGCTGGATGGGACTGAGAGGACAGAGAGCTGCAGGGTCCCCAGAGGGCAAGGTGCTTCCAGTTAAGAAAGAGGACACTGCAGGCCCGGACTGAGGAATGGGATGTGGTGGGATGTGGCAGCTGAATGTCTAATGCAGGGACAAAAGCATAGAGGCAGGAAGCCCAGGCCAGGTCCCTACAGCTTCAGTGACTACTGTGAGTTCCAGAAACATGTCCAGTGTACGTTTGGTAGCTCTACTTGCCTGCCTCCAAAGCAATTTGTAGTCAAACTCATCATCTTTCTAGTGTGGACTTGAAGACAGTTCTTTCCCCTGACTCAGCAAGTGGCAACCCCAACTTTCTGATCCCCCAGTGTCCCTTAGCAAACACAGTCAATAACTACGTCCTGCCAACTTGAACTCCTGGTAATTCCCAAGGCCTTACCCGTTCCTATGTACTTTCACCACACCTGCAAGCAAACTAACAACTCCTCTCCAGATGTTTGCAATGGCTTCACTGATGACAACTAACAACTCCTCTCCAGATATTTGCAATGGCTTCACTGATGACACCGCAGCTAATCTGTTCCTCGATCGTCCACCTTCTACTTGGCAGCAAGAGTGAGATGCTGGACACACAAAGCTTATATTTTCTGATGAAAAACTCTTTAATGTCTTCCCACTGTTTTTGGCATAAAGACCAAAACGCTGAATGGTACTTCCTAAGGTGGGCTCCCAAGCAATGTTGGGCTTCCTGATTCTGTATCCCCATCCACCTGTACTGCAGTCCTCATCAAAATTGCTGTTTTCCATCCATTCCCTCTGCTAACTGATAATAAGCTGCTCCTTACCCTCTAGGCTGCAAGCAGAGACCGTATCTGTTCCAGCTCACTTGGATAACCCAGTGCTTAGCAATCAGCAGGTGCTCAGGGAAGAATGAATAAATGATCTTTATTAAGCACTAGGCCCCACTGAAAGGCTCATGATCAACATTCAATGATACAAAAGGTGATCTACATGTTATGATTTGCATGTGACTCCAGTATCAGGTCAAGTTTCTTTGTCTTCTCAACAAAGGGGGAAATATCCAGGAGAGGAAAAAAAGAAAAGAAAAAAATTCCTCACACAATGCTGCAAATGTGGCCATGGCCATGTCAATATCCTCCATGTAAGTGAGTGTTTGTAATCACCCAACTCATCAAGAGCAAGTGAACTGAGCCAGCGGTAAGGTCAGGTCCCACCACAATGAGGTGACCCACTGAGCATGCCAGGGACCCTCTTACTTTGTGCAAAGTTTTCTAGGCATGTCATGTCTCCATGAGGCCATTTGAACTTACTCTTTCTGTTGGATCGGTGGCCATGCTGTGTGGCTTTGAATCATTTAAATGATTGGGAGCAGAAAGCAACATCAATGAAATATGAATTAACTGTACAGTGGTTCTTGATTGTCAGTTTTATTAGACTTCTTACAAGAAATCTATTTCAGAACTACATATACCACAGTTCATCACTGAGAATGATGGAAGATGCTTTCAAGGGCTCTCCACTCTACCCTGGGATCTTAGGAACAATCTTTTCTTTTTTTTAAGGAATCCATCTCTAAAAATTGATGTGATACTATAATTCAAGGTCAACTTTTATTACATACAGTTCCCAGGGTCAACATTTCTTTCATGGGTCTCACCAAACATGCAAAGAAAGCTGACAGGCACAGAGGAATGACTATCCATGCAATGTTGGGCTGAGTCAACTAGTTTAGTTGTAGAGGGAAAAGTAGACATGAACTCCCCTTTCAGAGTAAGAAATTGGGTTTTAAGTTTTAGGCCACACACTTGGGACATCACTCCACCAAAGTGCTGTGGGATGTTCTGTATGGCAAATGTGTTGCTGATTAGTCAATAAATAAAACTCTGATTGGCCATTGGCTAGGCAGGAAGTGTAGGTGGGACAAGGAGGAGAATAAAGCTGGGAAGTGGAAGGCTGAGTCAGAGAGACACTGCCAGCCGCCACGATGAGAAACAGCATGTGAAGATGCCGGTAAGCCACGAGCCATGTGGCAAGGTATAGATTAATGGAAATGGATTAATTTAAGCTGTAAGAACAGTTAGCAAGAAGCCTGCCATGGCCATACAGTTTGTAACCAATATAAGTCTCTGTGTTTACTTGGTCGGGTCTGAGGGGCTGTGGGACTGGCAGGTGAGAGAGATTTGTCCTGACTGTGGGCCAGGCAGGAAAACTCTACCTACAAATGGCATCCAACGTGGTGGCATGAGTTTCCACCTAAAACCTGAGAAAAGATTCTAAAACGGAGCTAAAAACAGCTTCCTAATTGTCTCTCTCAAATGAGCGGCAGCTGCCGGTTTGAGCTACTGGTGGGTTCCTAGCATGTGTGCTCGACCTGCAGTATGGCGGGAATGAGGCCTTGGCAAGTGGCACATTAAGCTGCGTGGTGGATTTGGCCTTTGCTGGTACAAAACAAAAAAAGAGGTTTCTGGCCTACACACTGCTTGGCTAAAAGCATAGACCCACGATAGCTCCCAGAGCTGGTGGAAAACCTACCACCACCATATTGGGAAGCTGAGGTGGGCGGAGCCAGCAGCCACAGCTGCTGCAGTTTACAGCAATAGATTCACAATAAGACAGATTCAGATGTAATAGTTTACAATGTGTGTAAAATATACGTAGGCTTGAAAGAGACAAAAAAGGTGATATATACAGTTATAGAAACAAATACATAGTTTTAAAAAATAAAGTCTTTAAAGAGACAGTAAAATTAATATAAAAAATAAGCCACGTAAAGATGAATATTACACAGAGAATCTGGACTGTGTTGTCTTTGGGATTTTTTTTTTTAAATATTTATTTATTTATTATGTATACAGTGTTCTGCCTGCAAGTATGCTTGCAGGCCAGAAGAGGGCACCAGATCTTATTACAGATGGTTGTGAGCCACCATGTGGTTGCTGGGAATTGAACTCAGGACCTTTGGAAGAACAAGCAGTGCTCTTAACCTCTGAGCCATCTCTCCAGCCCCCAGTCTTTGGGATTTTTAACTGCAGAAAAACATTTGATTGTAAAAGCTGTTGAGTTATGCCAAAATGTATATTTTAAAAGTACTTTGACTTCAAAATTTGGATATAAGGATATGTTGCTTTGGAAAGGAGACTCTGCTTTTGTTCCCACAGAAAGCCAGAGGCTATGGATTTGTTCCAGATTAAGATACATCAGATTTGACCAGCCAAGACCATCTGAAAGGTCTCCGATGGCACCATGGTCCAGATGATCCAACATCCAGAATGGTTTGAAGGCAACTGGCTCAGACGATACAGCCTCACAGACTACTCCATGATCCTAAAATTTTCTTTGTGTCCCCATAAGATACAGCGCCCCCCTCCATCAGGAAGTAGTAAGAGAAGCTATGCCCAAATTCCCAAATTATATGTAATTTTACTTTGTTAAGGTTAAAACCTTCCTTTTTGAAAAAAAAAGGGGGAAGTGCTGTGGGATGTTCTGTATGGCAAATGTGTTGCTGATTAGTCAATAAATAAAACTCTGATTGGCCATTGGCTAGGCAGGAAGTGTAGGTGGGACAAGGAGGAGAATAAAGCTGGGAAGTGGAAGGCTGAGTCAGAGAGACACTGCCAGCCACCATGATGAGAAACAGCATGTGAAGATGCCGGTAAGCCACGAGCCACGTGGCAAGGTATAGATTAATGGAAATGGATTAATTTAAGCTGTAAGAACAGTTAGCAAGAAGCCTGCCACAGCCATACAGTTTGTAACCAATATAAGTCTCTGTGTTTACTTGGTCGGGTCTGAGGGGCTGTGGGACTGGCAGGTGAGAGAGATTTGTCCTGACTGTGGGCCAGGCAGGAAAACTCTAGCTACACCAAAGTGCTCGGAACTGGACTGACTAATCTCCAATGGTGTGAAAGGAATGCTTCTAACTTGTAAGGCTGAGGTTGGCCAAGGATTTCTATAAGGCACTAGATAGTGAAAAGTTCAGGCTGTAAGGGCCATGTGGCCTTTCACAACTACTTAGTCTGTGGCCACAGACGGACGTAAATGAATGGATACGGCTATACCTCAATGAAACTTCATGTAGAGACAATGGCACTCCAACCTCATGCACTTTCACATGTCATCAAACAGAACTCTTCTTTGGGCTCTTTTTACAACCAATCTGAAGTATAAAAACTACTGGGTATGGTGGTTAATCCCAGCACTTGGGAGGCAGAGGCAGGTAGATCTCTGTGAGTTCAAGACCAGCCTGGTCTACATACTGAGTTCTAAGACAGCCAGGGCTACAGAGAGATATCCTGTCTCAAACAAGGACAAATGAAGCAAAAAGGAGAAGTATAAAATCCACTCAGCTCGCCGGGCGGTGGTGGCGCACGCCTTTAATCCCTGCACTCGGGAGGCAGAGGCAGGTGGATGGATCTTTGTGAGTTCGAGGCCAGCCTGGTCTACAGAGCAAGATCCAGGAAAAAGCGCAAAGCTACACAGAGAAACCCTATCTCAAAAAAACCAAAAAAAAAAAAAAAAAAAAAAAAAAAAATCCACTCAGCTCATAGGACAGAACCACTCCTGCCTGTCATTTACAGAACCTTTTACATATCTGAGGTATATCAGCTTAGAGGTTCCAATATTCAACTCTGCTCACCATGTGCCTGGGCCAGTTCCCCACCCTTCTGAGAATAAGTCTGGTTGTCTATAAAATGGGTCAGCAATGCTGTCTTTCTAGTATTCTGGCAAGTTTACAGATGATCCTACATGACAGCCTGTATAAGGTGGACTTTAGCAAGCAGAGGCAGGGCATTTGGCACATTTGGATGAACAAAAGCCCCTGGTCATTCTGGTGTGCAGGTATGAATTCTAAATAGAGATAACACATCAGGCCCAGAGCAAAGGAAAACTAAGGTTTGGGATAGACTGAGAGAAGACAGGCTTGACACAGATTTCCTTCTTAAGTTGCCCAATATGTAAGAGCACTGAAAGTGACCTGTCAGACTTCCTCCAAGAGGTGGAAAACTGCTCCAGCTTCTCTCCTCCAGCAGCGCTGGACATGGTATCTAGTCTGAGTTTGTGCACTCATTCAGTCATTCTCTAAGCAAGAACAAATAAATGGAATGCTCTGGAAACCACAAGTCAGGTTCTGAGCTCGGGCCACAGGGAACAAAATTCCAGGCACCTTCCAAGAAGAGAATGAGACTCATTGGGAACTAGTCCACAGAGGAATAATGCAGACTACCGTTTTGCTGTTATTGAAAGTTGCAGTGTGAGGATTCTGGAGAGAATAGTCCTAGCACCATTGCAATTACAAGCAGACTGTCTCTTTAAGTCAAGGTGTAAGCTGCAATACTAAAGCAGGAAGGAAGGTGGAAGCAACATACATAAGGATCCACATGGGTAAGATCTCACCTAGCACTTCACATTACCTCCTGAATTTTATAAACACTCACCACTGTAAGATGCTACAATTGTAGAAGGCTGGAAAACTCTGTAGTTAAGAAGCATGTGATCTAAAGAAGACAGGTCAAAACCAGAAGCAATAAAGTGTAAGAGTACACAGCGACATAAATCCCAGGCAAGAGAGTGCCTCCTGGTAAAAGAGGACTCCTACTAGATTACAGATGACCTCAATTAGCCATTACTGGTCAGCCCAGAAAGGAATGTATGCAGAGATAGTCTGTCTTCCAAAATAATCTGTCCTGCTTGAAGCAGACAATTTCAGGAAAGAGACTGTGAACACACACAGCTCCCTAAGGCTACAACACTTTCCTCATTTCCAAGCCCCCCACCCTGTACAAAGGGTTGCAGTGCCCCCCCCCCACGCTCCCAGACCCCTCAATTTCCTTGCTGGGTGCTAATACACAGTCTGTTGGAAAGTCAGTCTCTGGTCTCTTTCTGATGCTTCAGAAATCTAACACCAGCAGCTGCAGACTCAAGAGCCTGTAGGCAAGTCTGTGGGGGCATTTTCTCTCTTTTTCTTTCTTATTAAAAAACCTTCCATTCCTTTTACATACCAATCACAGATCCCCCCCCCCCCTTCCCTCCTCCTGCCCCTCCAGCCTTCCCCCAACAACCTCCCCCATTCCTTCCTACAAGAAGGTAATGCCTCCCATGGGGAGTCAGCAGAGAGTACATTTAGTAGAGGCAGGTCCAAGCCCCTCCCCCTGCCTCAAGGCTTTGGGAGGTGTCCCACCATAGGCAGTGGGCTCAAAAAGTCAGCTCATGTACCAGGGATGGACTCCAATCCCACTGCCAGGGGGCCTCTCAAGCAGATCAAGCTACACAACTGTCTCGTCCATGCAGAGGGCCCAGTCAAGTCCTGTGGAGGCTCCACAGGTGTTGTCTGAATTTCATGAGTTCCCACTAGTTCTGTTTATTTTCTTGATTGGGGACTGATGTGGGAGGGCCCAAGCTACTGTGGGCAGTACCACCCCTGGACAAGTGCTCATAGGTTGCATAAGAAAGCAGGGCAAGCCCTGGAAAGCAACTCACTAAGCTGCATTTCTCATGGCCTCTGCTTCAGTGTTGTCTCTGGGTTCCTGCTGTGAGCTTCAGCCCTGATTTCCTTAAGTGATAGACTGTGGCCTGGGATGTGTAACCAAATAAACCTTTCTTTCCCAAGTTGCTTTTGGTCATGGTGTTTATCAAAGCAAACTAGGACACTCACTAGATTGGAAAAATTTAACACAAATAGATGAGTTTCTCAATATATGTGGCCTACTAAAATTGACTAGTCATGTGGTTGTGGTTATTAGTGGTCACTTTTATGCAGATCTTCAATGAAAGGGAGCAGGTGAAATAAGGAGAAATACAAAATGTACTATGTGAGGAGAAAAAGAAGAGAAGGAAAGGTGATGCTGGAGCCAAGTCCTGTACTCAGAGACAAAAAGTTTAAAGAAAAGACGAATGCTAAATGGGAATAAAGGGAGTGGTGACCTCAGGGCAAGACCTGACCTAGCTAAGCTTCCAACTTGTGAGAAGAAATGAAAGGAACACTAAAGCAGTGAAGGGAACCACCCACAAAAGGAAGCTGGTGCAAAGGTAATGAAAGAGGGGACAAGTTCCAGCCCCAGCAAGCAGGAGAACTTGGAAGCTTCCGGTATGTGGCTCTGGCTTTAGAAATCTCCCTCTACAGCTAAGGAAAGCCCCTGAGGCCAGGTGTGTGTCAGGGGTGTCCCTGGATGGAGGCTGAGAGAGGCCACTGCATGAAGCTGTGAAGGTGAAGTCTGGATTGTGTGGGAGACCCCTAAGATGTTGGAGATGCCTGATTTGTGGGATACCTGCCAAGGAGAGCTGCAGACTGGGTGTGGGACCAGCCCAAGAGAGGAGTATGCTACAGTCAACAAAGATGAAGAGAGTTTTACATCACACATGAAGATACAGAATCTGGAGTCTGCCCAGCTGGCTTTTGGTCTTGCTTTGGTCCAGTATTTCCTCACTATGCTCCCTCACTTCCTTTTGCAATGGCAATGTATATTCTGTACCATTGTATGCTAGAAGTATGTAATCTGCTTTTTGGTTTTGATTTACAGGAGTTACAGCAAAAAGATTGCCATGAGTCTCAAAAGAGACTTTGGACTTTTAAACAGTAATTGAGACTGGGATAGACTATGGGGGCTTCTGTAGTTGGATTGAATGCATTTTTTGCATTATAATATGGCTATAAGCCTATGGAGGCCAGGGAGTAGAAGGTGGTAGCTGAATAAGAATGGCCCCCATAGGCTCATATATTTGAATGCTTAGTCACTTGAGAGTGGAATTGTTTGAAAGGATTAGAAGGATTAGGGGTGTGGCCTTGTTGGCAGGAGTGTGTCACTGGGGGTTGGCTTTGAGGTTTCAAAAGACCATACCAGACTCAGTCTCCTTTCTTGTACTCTGCTTTCAGATCAAGATGTATTGACACTATACTCTGCCTGATCATAATGGACTAAACCTCTGAAACTGTAAGCAAACTCCCGATTAAATACTTTCTTTTAACATTTGCCTTGGTCATGGTGTCTCTTCACAGAAACAGAACAGTGACTAAGACAGTGGCTCCATAACAAACAGTGAGACTGACTGAAACAAAACAAACAAAACCCCTGAGCAGCTGTAGAGACTGGTCATCAGTTAAGAGCACTTGCTGCTCTTGCAGAGGAGCAGGGTATCACTCTCAGCTCCTGCAAGGCACTCACAAACATGTATAATTCCACTTCCAGAGGACCTGACACCCTCTTCTGACCTCTGAAGGCACCAGGCACACATACAGTACACATACATATAGGAAACCAAACACTCATACACACAAAAAAACATAATAAACACATCTAAAAAAATCTGATTTAACAATGGCCAGGCCCAGATGGAGTCACTGGTGAATTTTACCAGACTTTCAAAGGAGAACTCATACTAATGCATTTCAAACTATTCCAAAAAACAGGAGGGAATACTTCCAAACTCTTTCTAAGATGCCAGTATTCTCTTGGTACCAAAATCAACAAAGCTACAACAACAAAATGAAATGATAGACCAGTCTCCCTGAACACAGGCACAACAATTCACAATGAAATGCTTGTGAACCAAATTCAATAGGACATCAAAAGAAATACAAAAATGAAACATTCATCCCGATAAAGCTCAACATATATAAAACAATAAATTTAACTTATCAGTAAATAGACTCAAAAGACACAAATCACATGGTAACCTTGGTAGACACAGAAAAGGCTTTTGACAAAAATCCACCATCCTTTCATGACAGAAGTACTGCAGACCCAGAAACAGAAGGAATGCATCTCAATCCAATAAAGGCTGTTCCATGTCCCTGACATGGGCCAAGAGTCTACACATCCTCATCCAGGTCAAAACAAAGACAAGTCTTCCATCAGCAGACAGAAAGGCAGTCAGGAAGGATCCTATCAGGCTTTCTGTAAGCCTGATCACCTAGTTCCTATTTCTTGAGACTGAATGCAGATGGCATTGGGACCATCTGGAAAGAGGACCTAGCCTGAGGTGAGGTAAGATTTCCCTTTGAAAATGTGCACACCTCTCCTAAACATATCACTTGCAGATAATTGTATAGAATGCTTACTGCCCTTCAGCTCAGGAATGTGATGCCAGACTGAGGTGAGGCACTTTTGCTTAAAGAAGGCGGCTTGAGTGAATGGTAGAGCACACGCTCAGAAAAGTTCAGCAGTTACCCGGCTCTGCGGGTAAACCTGCCATGCCAGTAAGAAGGTCAAGTGGGGAGGGGAGACAAGGTACATGAACAGCTTTCATACCTAGCTAGGTGGTGACAGAAATACCATAGGGCCACTGGAGGGGCAACTGGCACAGGCACCCTCCGCTCAGGAAGCATTTGAAAGGTTAACTGAAGCCAGGTTAACAATAGGGTAGGTGTATGCCAGCCAAACAACAAACCCCCAAAGACAAGGGATAGCATGTTGCATCAGGGCATGGCATTTGACTTGGCACTGTGAAGGATATCCCATAAGTCTACACAGTAGGCCAGCAAGAGCACCTAGAATGTGGCTGTTCCAGAGGGAGAGGACACATGCAGTGGGTCTTCTCAAGACCACCAACAGCATTTGGGACGGGGCTTGATACTTCTGGTCCTAAAAAGAGGATGAATAGGAGACTAGAAGACTTGGGGAATATGCTAATGTTAGCAACACACTAATTGCCAATCCCCCCCCCCCCCACTTCCTCTCTTCCACAGGAAAAAAAATACACATCCCATTAACAAACACATCCAAGTTACTGGATATGGGGTCCACTTGAATTTGGCAATTAACTTTGAGGATCCTGCCAAGAAGATAACTTGTGATGCAGAGGACAATTAAGGACTGGCTCTGGGTGGGATGCATCCTCCCTGCTCTAGGGCCTTCTTATAAGACTCTCTAGAGTGCCTGCTGTGAAAGCTCGAAGACTTGAGTTTGGATCCCCGGGGTCCATGTAAAAGCTGGATGTGTATCTAACTCCATATGCTGGGGGAGGGAGGATGGAAGAAGGAGAATCTTTGGAACTCGGTGGCTCAATCTAGCCAAGTGGATGAGTTTCAGGTTCATGAGAGAACTTAAATTGAAAAACAAGGTATAGAGAGCTATCAACAAAACCCAACATTAACCTCTGTTCCCCCTCCACACACATAAGCATACCCCCCCCCCCGACAAGCACAGAGTGAGGGAACATTAAAAAACTAGCTATGAGAAGATGTGGTATCAGTCTGCGAATCACAAAATTTTCTGTGGATTTGAAATCAGTATTAAAATTTTTCAAATAGCATCTTTAGCTGGATTTTTCTTCAAAATAGACATTTTCTTCAAAATGTAGGGCAAAAATCAATCCAGAAAGAAAGAAAAATAAGTACAAATGACCATACCAACCAATCTCCATGAATACCAATTTTAAGTTTTAAAAGGCCACTGAAGTCTGAGGCTGTTTGAATTTGACAAAGTCTGAGCGCCCCCTGATGGCTAGTTGGAGCTCCTACAGCACATGCTGTAATTTTAGTTGCCCTGGGGTCAACTTATTTACTTTTTTCCTTCAAATAATCAAAGTGATTATTCTTAAGCAAAAGTGTTGTGTGCAAGAAAAAACCAAGTGTATGGGTTTATGACAGAAAATATGGATTGTTTAAGACGCTTCTAATTTAGTAAAATTTAAGGTCAACGCAGATTTTCTAAGCAAGAGATGAAGTGTGCACTTTTATAAGGACTGCCAGGCAATTTTTGTTTTTATAAAGGACTGCCAGGCAATTTTTGTTTTTATTTCACTGAACTAGTGTCTAAGTATCTTTATACCATTCCAGGGAAATAACACAAATGATCAGCCGAGAAAGAAAAGCTGCAGCCACCATCTGAGCATCAGTTGCAGGCTGGCGCCCTCCGCTGGCCGCTCCCATGGCTGCAGGGCTGGCAAGGAATGCCACCCACCGTGGCCCTGCTAAGGGGTGCGGGTGGCCTGGTGACTTTTAGTACCTTTCCCCCAGGCAATTGTGTCACAAGCACATACTCTTTTCTTTCGACAAAAATCTTATCTTGATTCAACCCGAAGGCTGGAGTTACAAGGGAATCGGTAAGCCGAAGTTACAAGGGAGCTGTGAAGATATATTCTCCATTGAATAAATGGATCCTGGAGAATGAAACCGCTTCCTGGGGAAGGTAAAGAGAGACAATGTTTGCAGAGGAGAGGAAGCTCTGGCATGCACCCCGGAACAAAAGGGAACAAGTGGTCTTTACTCAGAGAACAGCTTCCCATTAGGACTCACTCCTTCGTACATCATGCCTTTCATCCCCACTCAACCACAAAATGATTTTACTGAAGCAAATACAATGGTAGAAAAAGATTTACACTGAAAGAATCTTTAATAATAAACTGTTGCCGATCGGCCTACTTGCCCGTGATTTATAATACAATAAACATCGGATTCTATTACGGCTCATGCACTGAAGCCTCTGCTCTGAAAAACGGAATACGAAAGCGCGGGGACCCCGCCATCATCACAATGAAATGAGCATGTATAAATGTGCTAAGAGTATCTCTTTGCATCTTTTATAGCTTGTGTGTATTAATCTGTAACGCTTATTAAGAAAGTCATTGCTATGCAAAGCAGCACCCAATCCCTTTCTCGGGCTTTTCAACAGTGTGCACTGTTTAGCCAATAGGAGGGACCCTCTGGCCCTCATTCTGCATTCATCACAGGCAACATTTGCACAATGTATCTCTCAAAGGCGGCTGAAAAGAAGGCCTTAATACTCATGTAAACAACTGCAAACCAATTACTTAATGAATCAGGCCCACACATAATGAGGTGCAGACAAAGAGCTATAAATGCATTTTTGCGCCCAAGCCCCTGCTTTAAAGTAAAATCCCTCAGCTGTAGTTTGGGCTTAACTAGCACATCATAATTATTGTCTCTGGGACATCAGAGGAAGCCATTTTTTTTTTTAAGGTCCAACGGGGTCTTTTTTTTTTTTTTTTTTTTTTTTTTTTGAGGTTGCTCATCAGCTCACTGACAAAATAGAGCAAAGAAGAATTTTTAAAAGTGCTACAGCAGCACAGCACTGTTATGTTTATTCTCAAGTACTGGGTTTCGAGACCACTTGTAAAAGCAATAAAGCACAAGGAGTGACTGCAGTAAGTGGGATCCTTAAATGTAAGCCTCTAAGAAATTTCAGGGAAGCCAGGCACAACAGCAAACCTGAGCTCTCCAAAGCCCAGGGTCGGGTATTAACAATAACAGACCCAGCACAAGAACCAAACTGTGCCGAACAGCACACCAAGCTGTACACTCACTGTTCAAAGCCTTTTAAGCTAGATTACTACCAAGTGTCTAGAACCAAGGGGTCCTAGAAGACCTTTGAGTGGGTTTATTTTTCTTAAAGGGGGGTGATGAGATTATTTATAATTTATTAGGAAATTAATTTCATAGAGTAATAGAATAACAAGATGCTCCTTGTTTTAATTTGTAGGAAAACAAAGTTTAATTTTAATCTGGTGAAATGTGGCCAAGTGTGAATGACCAGGCTGAGAAAATGTCCTACATAATCCTATTGCTTTCTAAGTGTGTTTAAGAATTTCCCAAAGAACACACAAAAAGAACTTGTTTTATGTCTTTAAAATATAATGGAGACAAATACTTCTAACAATCTTAAAAACTGAAGGGATATATTTTTAAGCCAAATAGTAACATTAAGCCTGGGAACTATCTATAGAATTTATTGACCTTTAAAAATTCTCTTAAAAGACCCAGAACTTGAATTTATAGCACAACCCTAACGATACAGTATTCAACACTCCTCCAAACCCAGTTAGCTCCTGTTTTCTCCAATAATATGAACAAAAACCAGGGATTAAAGGTAAATTCTGATAAACGAGGAAGCATCTTGAATACTCAGCAAGTTTCTAAAAGCAAGAGTTTTAGAAAATTAACCCATCCAAATAGCCCAGGTCCTAAAATACCGTAATGCTTTTGTAAAACACAAATGAATAGATTTTTTTTCCATTTTCATTTCCCTTTAATATGACATTTCTGGACCAGATCATTTTGTTATTTGGACATTACACACAGCGGTAGAAATGTAAAGGTCATGTTTTAACATTTTAGCAGGGTCAAGTAGTAAATTCAAAGGTAATGCAATCATCTAAAGGACACCTTTTTAACGAGCGTGCTATTACAAAGGAAACTTGCTAGGCCGTTTGAAATAGTATTTAGCCAAAGTAAAAGAGTAGACACTGCATTAGGCAATTGCTTAGATTCACATTATAAATGCTTCCTAAGTGACTGGAAGTCACTGCATGATTAGTACTGGATGCTGATGGCAAATTCAGCACACAACTCACTTACTAGAGCTCACAAAACTTGTAAGGACTGTTACATTTTAGCGAATGTAAAAAGATAAATTCTGTTCTTTAAGGGGAATAGGCAAGAGCACATCAGAAAAGGAGTGAGTAATGTGGCCCAAAGACTTGGTTTAAAAAAAAAAGAAACCACACACAAAAACTAATACACAGCAATTGCCTGTTCGTCTATCAGAAAGAAGAACATGCCACTTTATTTCTTTTAAGGCCTGATGTTTTCTCCCTGCCCTTTTCCTGACAACCTCCTTTGTGTGGTCTCTAAGCAGTCCTACTGCGAGCAGCTGTAGACGCTAATTTGTGGTTCACTGAGGTGTCAATTGAGTCTTAAACCAAGGCAACAACAGCTGCAAAACAATACTTGGCTCTGGTGCAAATATTTTCAAAGGTAGACTAAAGTTTCAACTGTTATTTTAGATAAACAAAAACCCCAAACCATAACCCTCCATCAAGTCACACAACAAAATAACACGCAGCCAGGGCTGAATTCATTGCGTAGTGACATTTCTCATCTTGTTACTGCTATTCAGAAAGGCTTTCACGACTTTACCTTGACAAAGGACTTCCTTTACTAGATGAAAAACTAGCTTCCGAAGCGATTTTGTGGGCCGTCTTTGTCTTGAATGCGCTGCTGCCGATATCCAAACCTGTGGCGAGCACAAACAAGGGGAGTGAGAGTTAGCCACCACACAGCCACCAGCGCAGACGGACACAGCCACCAGCGCAGACGGACACAGCCACCAGCGCAGACGGACACAGCCACCAGCGCAGACGGACACAGCCACCAGCGCCGACGGACACAGCCTCCTGGGAAGTTGGGGAAATCGAGAGGAAGATTTCCTTCAAGCCACAGAAGGTTTCTAAACTTCTAAGGGCCAGGGCAAAATATCCACAGAACACTGAAAAGAAATGAGAAAAATAATAATAAAAAACAAGCAAACAAAAAAACCCCACCAAAACTACCCAAAGAGTTCTGCTTTATGTTTTATTTTAATTACTCACTCTTTTTTTGTGGTATAGGGGTATGAACCCAGGGCCTCCTCAAATGAGCTTGGCAACCATATGACCTAGAGCTAAGTCCCTAGCAAGCTCTGCTTTAAATGGCCAAGATGTACACATAAGAACATAGGTTGAAAGCCAGGCGGTGGTGGCGCACGCCTTTAATCCCAGCACTCGGGAGGCAGAGCCAGGCGGATCTCTGTGAGTTCGAGGCCAGCCTGGGCTACCAAGTGAGTTCCAGGAAAGGCGCAAAGCTACACAGAGAAACCCTGTCTCGAAAAACCAAAAAAAAAAAAAAAAAAGAACATAGGTTGAATAATTCACTTTGTTAGGAATGAGGCGGGGTTGGCTCACCAAGACAGCAAGTACTGGGAACCAGGTCTCAGACATAACTGACACTCCTGGATGACAAACACCCACGCTATCTACTCTTGAACCCCTTTGCTAAATCCTGTTTCCCATCGACAAAGAAGAATACATTTCCACTAAAAGCCACCAAAGCCACTCTTTCAGCCTGTGTTGAGGACACCTTTTTCCCTAGGGATGGAGGCTGGGCTGTCCTCACTGTTCTCAGCCTTGGATATTTCTGCTGCACATATGGGCAGTCACCCCAGATCCCAGACTGAGAGTACACAGGAAGCTTTGCCACAGGCTAGCTGACCTTCTAGCCGGTGAATGGCATGCCTGCATGTAATCTCTGAAGCACAGTAGCTCTTTCAGCACCACGTCCACAGTCAACTCAACAGGGTCTCCACTTTCATACAGGACAGGACTTGGGGTTATGAAAAGTGGGGTTCAAAACTTAAGTGGCTTTCCTCTGTATCAGATCTGGAGACAGTCCTACACCATCTAACTCAGAAAGTAACTGAAACATGACTGCTCCCTCAGGAATGAGAAGTGAGGATGGGAGTCCTATTCCCACAGCTTTTAAGTACTGGAAAGTTTCCCTTTGCCCTCACAGATGGTCACCTGCTCTCTGCAGCTCATAGGACCTGGGGACAAGAGCTGTGAGATGACGATGCGCAGTCAGTGGAGAGTGGATGCAAGGCACCATCACTTCCAAGGGCAGCCAACAGCATGAGAAGCTCCCACTCAATACTACCATCAAACTACTAGAGTCTTTCAAGGCTTACAGGGTCACTGTGAGATGGCCCAAGGAAACTGAACCTGTCTGTACTTAGTTGTACAACCTGTGAAGTGCATTTCACACATGACAAGTTTAACAGGATATGAACAAAATACATTGTCTAAGTGTATGAACTCTTCAAAGAGTATTATTTGAAATAAGTTATTAATATATTTAATAGTATAATTTTTATAGACAGCCAAGAGATGGCAATTTATGCCAAATACTCATCTTTTGCACCTCCTCATTAGGGATCAAAGTATTTACCACAACATTGTGGCACTGCCTTCTTAGCTATGTGCATCTGCTAGGCAGCTATGTTCCGAGCAAGGCATGGCTCTCTTGGGCCCTTTTTATAAAATGAGGGGGTTGGACAAACATCTTGTAAGACTGGTCTCCATTCAGACTGTATGACTCAAATGTGAATAGAAAGATGACAATCATTAAGATTTTCCCAAAGCAGTAAGGACCTCCTTCACGACAGAGGACCTGCTTTATACTTCAAGAGACTGTGATTTCTATATTTTCAGAGTTAAATCATAGCTACCAAAAGCTCTGCCCAGGAGCTTTACACTGTCAGGCCCAGGCTGGGTCTTTAACCTAAAGTGGCTCACTGAATTCTTAAAGCAACCCAACTAAATGACACTACCACTAACATCACCTAGAACTATATTCTCCAAATACAGCTAGTTCTGATTCAGCTTAAGCATATGTCTTGAGAAAGTGTCTGTCTGAGGAAGACATGCTTGAGACAACTGGGAATCTGAATATAGTCCAAGAATTATACGACATTAAGAAATCACTGTACAGAAAATTAAAGCCACTCTGAGCTGGAAAGATGCCTCAGTGGTTAAGAGCACTCACTGGTTGCTCTTCCAGAGGACCTGGGGTTCAATTCCCAGTACTCCCATGGTGGTTCACAATCAATTGTAACTATGGTTCTAGAGCATCCAACACTCTTCTGTTATCCATGGGCACCAAGAATGTACATGATATACATTCATATATGCAGGCAAAACACTCATGTATATAAAATTAAACATACAAATCTAAAATTAATAAAACATAACCACTCATACATTTTCTCCTGTATTATGTACCTCTTATAAGTGCTAAATTGAGTGATACCTAAAAAAGACGATATAATAAAATGAAAATCACTAAAATAATAAATGTAAAATTGGAAAATATAAGAAAATTAAAATAGAAACAAAATCCTAGATTAAAGGAACTATATTTTAAGCCTACATTTTAGCTTTATAGGGATTTAGTCCTTTTATTATAAGAGAGAGACTTTCCCAGCATTCCCACAGAGTGGACATGTAGCACAAAACTGCTCATTTGATGATTAAGAAATGAGATGTGGGGAAGAGAAGCTTGGGGCATCTTCTGTGATAGCTGGTGAAAAGATACCACCATGAAACACCAAGTAGAATCGGAGAGTCTGTAAGAACTATTACCATGTGGGGCCCCATGTATTCAAGAAGGGATGGTCCTTCCAAATGCTTGTCTGCTAAGGATGGGAACGTTCTTGCTCTCTCAGACTCAGTAGCACTCCTTACAAAGCCAACTCTAAAACCACACTTCTCTCAACATAGTGCTGGCTGTTGTCCTGAGCTCCGTCACAGGAGTCAAGTGTTGAATCTGTCCCTACTTACTTGAAAATTGACTTTCAAACCTCTCTTCAGGTTGATTCGAATTATCCTGAAGGGTAGACTTCTTCAGTAACTGGTAAGCTTTTGTCTCTATAAATGAAGAAAAGCACAGAAATATTCTACTTACAACTGTTCATAACTGTTTCTTAAACTCCTCTTAGGTGGTTAACACTTCTCAAATGTGTGGTCTCCTTAATTAGGTCTCCCTATGGAGCCCAAGTGTTGGGATAAAAGGTGTGTGCCACAATTTTAAGACTCAGGGATGAATTTTAAAGAGTTTATCTGAAACCGCAAATTCCATTTAGCCTTCCAATGGATCTATGTATAGATTCACTATCAAAATGAATAGCTTCTCTCCATTCCAAGCTCTACAGATGCATCCTGGGTAGGCAGAACTCCAGAGCACTCTAGGCCCTGGTTTTTAGGCTCTTCAGCTAGAGTGTGGGGCTCTGAGAGAGGGGAGGGAGAATGCAAAAATCTTAGGATGGGCAGAAGTAGGATGGGTTCAGTGAACAATCTGACTCCAAGGGCTAAGGAGAAGGAGCCTGCCTGCAGAAAGCAAAGCCAGGGGCACAGAGGGATCAGCAAAGCGGCAGGTACAAGTCAGATTCTAGAGAAAGCCTCACTGAAAGGGCGAGGACCTGAACAGGATCCAGAGAGGCTGTGTCAGCTATGGTAAGTGGTTGTGGACCAGCTTCAGACTCTTTGCAGGCAAATGTACTTTTTGCAAGAGACTCTCAAAGAATGTAGATCCCCTCCTGTAACAGTCTAGAAGATTGAGTCAGGAAGGCAACTTCACAGTGCAAAAAGGCCAAACAATGCATGTGAGTTTTTTTGGCAACGTGGGCCCAGGTCCTCTGGAAGGACAAAAGAGAGCAAGGAACGAAGCAGTTAAAGCTGCAGTGTGCAGCTGCCTTGCGATGCAGTTACAAAGTCCTGGAGAAGTGAATAAGGAGACCGAGTAACATGGAGAAAGAAAAGGCAGCCTGCTCTAAACAAAGGGGAAAGAATGGCTGCAAGTAAGATGTATCTGAAAATCTGAGGACTAGGTAGCTGTGTAAGGCTTGATGTACACTGTAGCTTGTGCCTTGAACTCCAGGGAAACACTTCTCTCATTTGTAATGTTAACCACTCAGAAAATTATGGAGCAGTAAAAATTATTAGATGGAACCAACATTTTAAAAGAAGCCAATTCTTTTCATACACAGAAACAAATATATAGAGACATCCTCAAGTTTTTGGTTCTGAATCCTGTAGTCAAGCACTAGTATATATTCAACTCTATGTCAAATTTTAGCTTAAAAAGTAGAAAACATTGCAGTTTAAAACATATAACAAGGCAAGGAATCTACATCGCATGTAGTATTCAGCCCCCAAGAGATTAAAATCTGTCCTGTTTATTAATTCCAGGCTGAGGACATAATGAGATAAATATTTTTCCTCCACTTTGTTACATAAGCTGGAACCCAATCATTCATCTCCCTGCAAGTGCTGAGGGATCACTAAGGCGATTTTTTTCTTTTTGATATGCATTTGGGGTCTGGAAAATAGAAGCAGCTACAGAGAATAAAGGTGAAAACATGCTGAATAAAGGGGGTAGAGAGAGATGATGCTGAGGAGAGGAGAAAGAAAAAGCCTCAACTTCTTATCTTTGATTCTCTTTTATATGCAAATGTACACCTGCTAAAATACTCCTAAATCTACAAATAAAAAGAAAATATCTGATGAACAAGTGCTTTTAACAGCCTATTACAAGATACACATGTGTTTCACCAGTCTCTAAGGGCTGTATGGAGGCAAGGGATCTATCTGCCCATTGCTTGTGCAGAAATCCTTAATGAAAAAAAAAAGAGTTGGACCTGGAAAGGAATAACAAAGCAAGACACAAACAATACTATCACCACGGCAAAGGAAGCAGACCTTGAACTCACAAAGAACTGGGGTGTTCAACTAAGGGCATGTAAGTACTGTTCCTGTATGAAGTGGATAGAAATTCTAAAATTAAAATGGAAAAATGCTTTCTGTATAAAGGATGCTAAGGTTCTATTTATTACTTTTCATGTATTTCTTCTACACATTAAAAATGTTTTTTCATGTTATATTAGATGCATTGCTGATGAATCAAACTCAGTTGCTTTTGTAGAATAAAATTAAAAGCAAAACATAAATTTCTAAAATTAATTCAAAAGACACATATTATCACTTTAAGCCCATAAATCAGTTATCTAGTAATCTGATCAAATAAAAGTGGAAAAAATATTTGAATATGGATGCTTTTACAATTCAGAAAATATACAAAACGTTTGTATATTTAAGACTTCAGAGAAAGAGGCCACAAGTCTATGAATGTGGGCAGCACCAGCCCAGGGAGAATCTTCACATCTGGACTTTCGGTGCTAAACTCGCCCCCCCAGGAGACTTAGGTCAGCAAATCCACTGTGAGGTCTCTCTATCTGCTGATGCACAGGGAACACCCTAAGTCACAGGGGCTGCCTGGGGCAGTGTCAGAAAAGAGATTTACATTCTTGTTTTTATTTGTGTGAAGCAACTCAACAATTAAGCCTGAAAATAAATGCCAGGCTTGTAACTGACCTTTCATAGCTGCTCCCAAGCCGAACTGGAACAGTTCTGAGGGTACTATATCCGCCTCTCTGTGTCCTTCAGGTCCACATCCACAGATCCAAAAACCAAATACGGATTAAAAACATTTTGGAAAAAAATAAATTAGTATTGGGTATTACAAACTTCTTTTCCTGTCATTATTCCCTAAATGACATGCTATTATGTAGCATTTACATCATACTAAGTGCTAAAAGTATCTAGATATGATTTAAAGTATGTAGAAGGATGTATGTAGACTATATGGAAATACCAAACTATTTTATATAAGGGAGTTGAGCATTTGTGCAGTTTCATATTCCAGGGGTCCTGGAACCCATTTCCCCTTGTATACTGAGGGACAACTGTACTTCCTACAAAACTTAACCACCATACTGCTTGCTGCTTACCACTGTTGAATCATAGGAAGCAAATTTTCAGTTCTCAAACTCAGGGAACCTTGAACTTACCAAAGCTTGAGCGATCTCTGTAAAAAGCTGCGTTTTAATGGTATACTCCAGTGCTTTTCATTTTTCCCAGTGCTGGTAACTGAACTCATGGCTCATGCAAGCTAAGTTGGTGCTCTACCACTGAGCTACACTCCCAGCTCCAAACAGTTTTGTAAAAATCACTTTTAACAATTGATACTTAATAATTTATATGATGGGAGGAATGAGAAGTACTGACATTATCATTGTTCCTTACAGAACAGGCCAGGAATAATGGGTATGATGTGACCCAAATGCTAGAAATATAAAATGTGAAGAATATCCTTTTCACATCCTATCTATAGTGGGCTGAATACTGCCTTCCTGACCCCCAAATTCAAATCCACTCAAACCTCAGATCGTGATCTTATTTGGTAATAGATTATTGTAGACACATTAGCTAAGGAGAGCAGGACAAAATCTCCCTGCATTTTCACTGGACCTAAGCCAACGAGTGGTGTCTACTTGGTGAGAGGAGCCGACAGAGACACAGAAAAGGAAGTAAGAAAGCAGAGGCAAACACGGAAGACACCGCCACAAACCAGAACCTCAGCGGCTGGGAAGAAAGAACTCTTCTTTTTTGTATCCTGAATTGTTCAAGAATAAGTTCTACTATTTTAAGTTAGTGGCATTTTGTTTTCATGTTTGAATTTTTGTTGCTCAGGGAAGCTTCCCATTAGCACCCCTGCTGCAGCCTGTTGAGGATCTGGGACTACACGTGCAGGTCACTGCACCTGGTAAGCTTATGGCACTATCACAGCAGCTGGAGGAAAATAACGATCTCTCGAACTCCTGATTTCATGAAAATGTCTAAATCTTGACCTCTTCTCTCAATCTGAATTGCCTGTGTAAAACAAAGGTCCTTTAACAATCTGAACTAGAGGTGCTCCCGCTTTGAGACCCCTACTGCACAATTCTGAACCTGGAGACTGACTTGGATGTCTCATAAAATGCTTATTCATGGGACCTACACTGAGTTCTGATGTAGCAGAGCACAGAAAGCCACATGGAATTTTACTGCACATTCACTGGGAGAATCTCTCCTGAATTATGAGTTCTTGTCTTCAAATGCAAACACACTAATCAGTAGCACTCCTCAGAAAGATCTTTTTATTCTTTCACATCTATGTTAAATGCTTCTGTCCGCCCAGCTGCAAGCAGCAGGTAATAGGCTCAATGGCAGAGGTGCTGGCAGGCTCTCTGCCTAGAGACAGAGGTGCTGAGTACCATGGACAACACCACAGCAAAGGAGGCCCCACTGTCACATTCTTTGGAAGTTCCCTGACACAGGCACAGCAGATAACTTGTCTCTACTAATTCTTCTGAGTAAAGCTCTTCTGGGACAAGGCAAGAAAAAAAGCATTCTCAGTGAACTTGCAGTCTCGGAGGTTATATGCCATTACACTTGGGTGGCCTAAACTTGTCACTGCATTCTTTTCTCCTGGGGTAAATCCAGTCACCAATGACAACCTGGCCATTGTATGTGTCCAGCTCCCTTTCAGCGTGGTATAAAACAGAAGCTGTAATGTTTGGGGAGGCGGTGTCCAGAACTCCAACCAGCACCCTGCAAGTAGATGCTGGCCTGGAAAGCTTCTCATGGATGCTTCAGTGTGACGACAGAGAGAATCTCAGCTGGCCAAAGAATATTGGGGAGGAATGGCACAGAGAAGCAACACTTTTAACACAGCTTGACCAACAGAATTGGTGTTAAAAGAATGAGAGGCTGAATGGACATTCTTGGAGCTTAATCCTCTTGAGATGAAAGCTGACAGCCCTTTTCACATGCGGCTTAAGGAGATGCGTTTGGCCAGGATGGGCACGTGGGCTGGGAAAGTGGTGCTGGAGTGAATGACTGAAAGAGATAGTGTTCTGGCCTGAATCAACAAGCGTTTAAGGGAACTCCTTAGTTCCCCATTTTTATTCATTAGTTTGACAAATTAAGGGCCCACTGTGTGGCACATACTATGTAAGGGGCTGGTTTTCATGATTTACTAGAAATTGTATCATTTTCTTAAACTAAAGCTTGGTACTGAAAGGGACATTAGTGTGAATACAAATTTAAATGCCATCACTGTGGATGTGAGTACTTCAGAGGGACATGTTCTCTCATAATCTTACTAAGTGTCACTTTCTTCCTGGCTTGAGTGTTTCCAGGGAAACTGACCAGAACATCCTGCATTCTTCACATGGTTTCAGAGGTCCAGATGTGCTCAGGCCTGTCCCACTTTAGAAAAGGCAAGCCTCTTAGTCTGGCCTTGGAAATTTTTGCAAACTGCTCACTTCTCTAAGTGTAGCCAAAGAGACAGGAAAGGCATAACTGCTCAGCATCGCTCCCCAGAACTTCCTTGTTAAGCTCATCTTTTGCTATGCTATACACTGAGATCTAATTGACTCAGCTGCCATGATACAGCTGTCTTTCTGCTGCTGTAACAAAAGAGTCATGATGGAGGAATGAAAACACTGAATCCTCAAGTCTGACTTGGAGTCCACATCCATTGAGCTGGCCCCAACCTTCCCATGTTTCTGGGTGACAGCAGGATGAGTTACTCTAATTGAGTCCTGTAGGACTATTGTGAAGATTAGAAATGTCTGAGGCTTACTGAGGGCAGAGGCAGTCTTTTCTGACCTTGGTATCCCAAGATTCAGTCCAAGTAATAGGCTAATAGATTAGACAAGTAAATGCTATATTACCTAGCACAAAAAGAAACAACATGTTCATAAATATAACATTAATCTGTTTTATCTGGCTTCTTTTTAAGACAAATGAAAAGGAGTAGACTGTGTTAACAGCAGACTAGTCTGTAGAAATATTTGATCTTGTTGACTGGGGAATGTGTGCTGTATGAGGGGCATTCTATACAAATATTGGTGAAGAAAACTCTCTTTTTCTATGATGACTAACAAAGCAGATGCCTTTGGAGGGATAGCAAACTCTTTAAAGATGAACTTCTCTGCTAAGAAGGCTTAAGTTTGGGAGGGCATAAGCAAGAAGGGGAAATAAAGACATCAGAATGTTGGCACAGTATAGTCACAAATAGTGACACCAGACTTATTAATTATGAAAGCTTGGCCTTAGCTTAGGTGTGTTTTTAACTAGCTCTTATAACTTAAATTAACCTGTTTCTATCAATCTACATTCTTCCTGCTTCCTCTGTGTTTCCTCGCATCTCTGGCTGGAAACTCCCTCAAGCACCTAGATTCCTCCTCCTACTTCCTCTCTCTGCCCAGAAGTCCCGCCTAGACTTCCTGACCAGCTATTGGCCATTCAGCTTTTTATTATCCCAATCACAGCAACACACCTTCACACAGTGTACAGCTATCCCACAACAGCACATCAATTCCCTTGGTGTACAGTGAGGATCACAGCCTTGTATACAGGAATGGCAGGTTCTATAAATAAGAATTCCATCTATAGGGCCTGCTGTGGTTCAGCTTCCCAGCCCAGAATCTCATACCTACAAGACTGACCTTGTTTTATGAAATGAAGAGCTAGAAAGTGCCTTTGTTACCGATCTACACTTCAGTTATACTTAGTAAATGATCTACTTTGCATATATATACACAAGAAGAGAGAGAGCAGGTGTGTCCTTCTCATGTCCCAGGACTCTTATTCTGAGAACGGTGTAAATTCAGAGCTTTGTACCCATTCTGGAACCTGCCCTGGATTTCACCTTGCTCTCTTGCTTTCCTACTTCTTTTTAAAATGGATGAAGATAATTTTACTGTACTGAGAAAGCTGACATCCCAACTGGACCTGCTATTTAAGGAAAGGTCCCATGTATGTACATTAAAAAAAAGTTAATGTTTTTGGCCATTAAGGACTTCATCCAGACTGGTCTACACAGCAAGTTCTAGGACACCCAGGGTTACACAGAAAAACCCTGTTTCAAAAACCAAAAAAACAAACAAACAAAAAAAAAAAAAACAAAAAAGAAGAAAAAAAAAAAAGGACTTCATTTTCAACTACATAACACACTTGTGAAATGGCGGCTCACATTTTTTTTCCTTCAAAGTTTTCTGAGTCTTCACCATGGTCCTGTACATTATGTATACTACAGAAAGCTAAAGAGACCACATGAGATGACCTCAAAACATGTTATTCATTGAAGTATTTTCCGCACAGAGTGCATTTTGGGTAACGCTGTATTGCTCATCAACGCTTACGAGACAGCGCATCAGGGAAGGCCTGCTGCATGGCCATCAACTGCCTTGAAGTACCTTCATCTGTGAAAATAGAGTCACTAAAGGCTCCTAGGCACACAGAGCCAGACACCTCCAGCCTGATCAGTACGATCCCAGGGGCTAGCTAGAAATTCAACTATAGGGGCTCCCTTATGGGACGCGCTGGAATTCCCAAAGGTATCCAGAAAGTCTTCAGATTTTTTCTTGATGAGTTAAAAATATCCTTCTGGAGTCAAATCACTGGCTGTTTTCTCAAGCGGCGTTTTCTTGAAAGAGCTAATGCAGCAGTACTGCTGGGAAGTACTGTCCCTGAGGAATCACAGCTACACCATGCTGAGGCTCATCTCGGGCCTCAGTCATGTCATAACTCAGGGAGGGTGAGCATGACAGGCTAACACACTGGAGCGGCCAGACATCCTGGAGGCCCATCGAGGGGCTTCTTTTTCTGAGCACCGCATTCTCACCCCTCTACTCTGTTTGTTTTCCTCTTTGAGCTTGTCTTGTAAGATTTCTTTTGACTAAGTGCTAGTGATTTGTGAATGTCAGGGGTTGTGAGATCCAGCCCAGAAGACCTTTGCTGCTACTAACGTTTGGATGGATAGTATTACTGTATATCACAGACAGCAGGTCTCCAGCACCTAATAGCTAGTCTATTTGGCACTTTCACATACTTGATCCATCTCACTGAAACTTTTTTTTTTTAAAGACAGGGCTTTATTATGTAGAACCGACTGCCCTTGAACTTGCAATAATTCCCCTGACTCTGCCTTTCATGTACTAGATTACAAGTTTATACACCATCCTTGGCTGATTTCATTTAAATTTTAAGGCAACTTGTTAGATAGCTTTCCCTACTTAGAGACCCAGAACTATGTAAAAACAGTAGAGAGTGAAAGACACTGATGCCCAACCCAGGCTCAACTGCCAGTCTCTTCAACGTCCAGAGGACAGACGCTGGAGAATGTTCCAGATGGAATGCAGCGCATATAAATAAAGCCATCATACACCTACACAAACATGAAACTTCAACAGACTACTATAAAGGGTAGGCACACTGAATCTTAAATTGAAATCTAATTGCTTGCCTTACTCTACAATCAAATCTCCAAATAATTATGATAGAAGATAAAGAAAATTTTAAAAAGTGATAATGATCAAGAGTTTAAGAGACCAAGTAGTTATGATGATAGACACACAAGAATATAGCAGCCGAGGTACACGAGGCATTTAGACATGAACATTGTGAGGGCTGGGGGTGGGGTGGTTAGAAGGACATGGGCATGGGTAGTGAGGACCATGCAGCAATGCTCTAGTAAAAACAACTTTACAAAGTTTTCTGGACTCCCATACTATTTTATTTTATTTGTTTATTTACTTTGAGACAGAGTTTCTCTGTGTAGTCCTGGCTATCCTAGAACTAGCTCTTTAGATCAGCCTGGCCTCAAACTCAGAGATCTGCTTGCCTCTGCCTCCATCAGACCCAGCTCTCCTGTGCTTTATTTATAATGGCCAATACTTTAGCAGGCTATGGCATGGTATTCTCTGTCAACTATTGAGAGACAGAGGGTGGGCTGTTAAAATTACAACTTATTTTAAATAAGTTTACAGATGACCCTTTGTGATCACAGGTTTATAATCCTAATTGAAATACATTCAGAGGCCATTAAATACTTCTGCACTCAAAGGTAAATATATGAAAAAGATAACCAAATAACTTCATGGACATCTGTAGCTTAGGGATCATCTATACTTCTAGTAACAACAAGAAAAACAAAAAAATCAGAGGGAACCCTATCAGAATTTTCTCAAAATGACAAATAAAAACACAATGAACATCATTGGGAAAAAATATTTAAAACTAAAGAAAATCTCTGTATTTGAAGTGAAATATTACACATACATATAATAATTGCTTTGTTATAAACTCCATTTTCAAAACAAGAGTTCATAACAGAAACGAGTTTAAAAATCATCATGCCGTGAATTATATTACCATAAAAGCAAGCCATTCATTTTTGCTTGTACGCAAAAACAAAACTACCTCATATGCAGATGCATGCTCAGTACCTCAGCAATGGTGTGTTTACTTGTATAAATATTTAAAGTCAGACCTTGGAATTTATAATGAAGCAACATACCACTTCACAAAATAAGGATCTAGAAAATTTAGATGTACAACAAATAAGCTTCTGTTCAGAATACTAATTGCTGCTTGCTGATATTTTAAGCCTAAAAAATGTAATGATACAATTCAGATTCCACCTATAAACACACCTAATATATGTGCAAAAGTCTTAATAGGTCTTGATAGATGAAGCATGATTAGTGAGAATTTTAAATTGCCAGACAGGCTTTTGTACCTGAGACATGAGCCAATTTCCTACCTTGAACATTTTTAAAACATTGGTTTTAAGCTGTTCAATTACTACAGGAGAGAAAAAGAGTAAAATCAGAAACATCTATAGCTTGTCATCTAGTAACTGGGCACTCACCCCGGCCAACTGACCGTTCTCAAATGGCTACAGGTGCTGCAAAGCTGTATGACGGAGGATGCTTACAGGCTGACTGTTCAAAATCAAGATGAAGAGTTCCGTGGACAGAGCTGTAACCCCCTGGGTTACGCTGGCATAGCTTGCATGCAGTAGTGGGGTATACTCTCTCTCCGCCTCACTAGGTCATCGGACCCACCCATGACTAGCCCTGAATGTTCTGACTATGCAGTCAGACCGCATTCCGCATTCCGCATTCCGGGGCTGAAACTGGTAGGGACTCGCAGCTTTACCTGTGACTGGGGCTGCAGCTACGCTTTCCTCCTTGCTCTCGTCTCCACAGCCACTGGAAACTTCTAAAAATTAAATCATAGTAAAAAATAAGTTTCAAATTTATGGAACAGATCTCTTCTTCCGTGCTGGGGGTGGAATCCACGGCCTCACACAGGATAGGCAAACTCTACCACTGAGCTACACTCCCAGCCCTACATGTGTTTTGTCTTGTTAAGGTTTATTTTATGCGCAAGAATGTTCTGCCTGCATGGATATAAGTGCACCATGTCACAACATGCCTGTGGGAGGCCAGAAGAGAGCTGGGTGAACGGACAGTTGTGAACTGCCATATGGCTGCTGGGAACCAAACCTGAGGTCCCCCCGCCCCCATACCAAGAGCAGCCAGTGCTCTTAATCCCATCTCTCCAGCCCCTGTATGTGGAGCTTTAATAATGTTTCTTCTCTTTTTCACTGTCTCTTCAGTTACAATTTTGTTCTTTTATTTCTTGTCTAAAAGGTACTATAAGTGATTGGTTTAAGATTTCCTAACCTGTAAGCATTTTACTTCACTAGAAGCTCAACAGAACTATACTTAGGGTTCCCACTCCTGCCTGAGAACACACATATTAACTGGAAGGTACCATAAAACAAACAACGTACCACACACTTAAAACCCGAGATAGGCTTTAGTTAGTGGTATTTTATAGGTATGCCCCGAGAAAGAGGATGCTGCATTGACTCTGAATGCCTTTTTGCTGTGGACACTGTTTAACAATAGTTACCTTGTTCCCTTGTAAGAACACTGTTGAGCCGCAGAGCGGGTTTTGCCTCCTTTATTCCATTATTGTCATTCAGAATAGATGGCATGCTGCAAGATGATTCATTGCTGTGAATAGCTGACCTATGGTCACATTCTTCTGTAAGGACTTTTTTCAATAATGCTGTGGCCTACAGCGTTTCAAAGAAAGCACACACACAAAAAAATATCAAAACAAACTGGAACCCCATTCCCTTTGCTCTCAAAGACTCAGACTTAAAATATAATTTTAGGTTAAGCTTTACTTAGAATTTAAATTCTTTCCTGATACTAAAATGTCCTCGAGATCAAAAGAACAGAGAAGGGGAAGGGAAAAAAGAGAACTGACATGAAGTTGATGGGTGGGGAGGTGGGGAGAATCTGGGAAGAGTTGAGGAAAGGGAAAAACATGATCAAAATATATAAAAAATTTTAATTAAAAATAATCTCGTTATTTTTCCAGCACAATTTAATTCTATGCAATAATTTTCATTCACAATAATATGTTTTTGAAGACTGAACCTTATGTACTACACAAATGTTCTTGAGAAGTAGGCACATGAGATGAGATCACTTCTGTTTATCTGAGCTACCTTGTTCTCCCTTTGGTACCCACAAGAGCAGACCCTCAGACCTCCTTTCTGAAGGAAAGAGTGGTTCTTTCATTGCATGAATCCTGTTTTCTAGGCTTGTAACCTAGAGTTGGTTGAGGGCTGGAGATGGCTCAGCAGTTAAAAATCATTTGCTGTTCTTGCAGAGGACTTGGGTTTGGTTCCCTGCACCCACGTCAGGCAGCCTATAATTTCAGTTCCTGGGGATCTGATGCCCTCTTTGGACCATTGTAGAAGCTGCATGCATGTGATGCACATATAGACAAACAGGCACACATACCTAAGTAAAAATGAATTAAAGAAAAGAAATGCACCAAGCAAAAAGATAACCAACTTGATTGGGAGTCTTAATGTTTAGCTAAGGATAAAAGTCTACACTTGTCTTTGAGTCTCCTGAGCAGCTGGGGAAACTTACCTGCTACCCTGCATATATTTTTTTAAAGGACACTAACTAGCCTATCTGTATAAGGAAAATGATTTTTAATCACAACCTACCTGAGAAGTAAGGTGAAGAAAAATGGAAATTAACAGGATCTGAGATAACTAAGTCTTTTCATTTCCAGGTAAGCACTTAGTTCCTAAGACATAAAACTGTGCTAATAACAAGAGTTCGATATCTAGCAGACAACCTCTGTCCCACTGTCCCACTGCCAGAGTACACACTCTATTAGGAAGTGATGATTTGCTCCATCCTGGTGATAGTGGTGGTGACCTGTTGATTGATGGTTATAGAAAATATGGGGCAGCATCCAATCTGCAAGAAATAGGTCTAAAACATCACAAGCCTGCTGTGAATATCATTCTGTATAAATAAAACACTGATTGGCCAGTGGCCAGGCAAGAAGTATAGGCGGGACAAGGAGAGAGAAGAATTCTGGGAAGTGGAAGGCTGAGTGAGGGAGACACTGCCAGCTGCCGCCATGACAAACAGCATGTGAAGATGCCGGTAAGCCACGAGCCACGTGGCAAGGTATAGATTTATAGAAATGGGTTAATTTAAGATATAAGAACAGTTAGCAAGAAGCCTGCCATGGCCATACAGTTTGTAAATAATATAAGCGTCTGTGTGTTTTTTTATAAGTGGGCTGTCGGACTGGTGGAGCTTGGCGGGACCCGGAGAGAAAACTCCAGCTACACAAGCCAATATGATTAGTAGAACAGGACCAAGGTCCTCAGGTTCTATGTAATTGAGTGTCTAGGTAACAAGCCATTGTTCAGTGAACAAGGAATAAATCACAATTCTTCATGATCAGCATAGCAGAAGGAAAAGATGCTCCAATGTGAGCCACTGAAGCAGAGCATGGGAGACCCAGCCCTGAGCATTCAGCTCAGCTTGCCTTTACGACCATTGCCTTTGGTTCTAACATCACTGCAAGGCTCTTTCCTTCTGACTTCCTTTGGGCTGGCTGATCTCCTGGACCCAGGACTTAGGACAGAAGCTAGAGGAAATGGTCTGAGGTGGTGTGTTAAGGAGTTGTAATTCTCGGCCAAAGGCCCTGGTGTTAAGTTAGCCTTGAAGCTGGGACCTTGTGCTGCAGTGCTCATCATTAGACTCTTTGCCTCTATTTGTATGAACTGTCCCTGGGTCTTACTGTCCTTCTGACAAGTCTAGGTAGGTGAACTGCTCAGGACTTCTACTGCAGACTGGGGTACAGACATAGAGCCTTGCCCCTGCAGCTGGGCCCAGAAGGGTTCCTATCATCAGCTGTCATTCTGACAGCCCAGCAGCCTATATACACCTCTTCACTGTGTATGCTCCTTAGGTCTGAAAGGAAGAAAGCCTCTTGAACTGCAATCCTCACACTGCCCATGGTGCTTTTTAGACCCATCCTGGTTCTAGCTGCCTGTGCCCAGAAATCCTAGATATAAGCAAAGCATCTTAAAGTATGACTAAAAACAAACCTCACCTTAGAAATCTTGCAGTGAAATTCGTAACTTTTTATTTTCTCAGGTTTAAAATAATCTATAAATTCTAATAGAACTTCGAGTGTGTATTTCTAAATTATAATATGTGATATAATTGATAATAATTTTTAACCTCTTAAGAATACTATACTTGTATATGTTTAAAAAAACAAATTGCTAAAGTTAAATATACATTTTAAACAACCAAATTATTGAAGTTTTGGTGCATCTTACAATGGAATTTGCAGACTGTAAAGATTTATGCAATTTAAAATAAGCACCTTTATAACATCTTTCTTCCCCTGAATGCCGACACTGTTTTAGACCATCAGTGTTTCAGATTACTTCTGTCTTGTCCCCTAATGCAAGTTATCAGGATCAAAGTGGAGTCATTATGTCAACAAAATGAAGAAAAGAAACCATGAAAGACAAACCCTCTTGCACATATGCCTGTAACAGGGTCTATGCAAAGAACTCCTCAAAACTGCAGTATTATAGATTAACTACCTCAATATTGCAGCTAAGCTGCTTCCACAATAACACTTGATTAACAATGGCTGTCTCCACTAATGAGCCAACCACAAGCTCTTATTACCAATGGTCTTTATTTCAAGATAGCTAAAGTAGATTCTGCCATTTTTCCTTTCCTTTTTTTTTTTCTCTAAAACTTCCTTTTGCCCCAATCCCTTCAGAAGCATCTGTAGTCTACCACAGCATGCCAGGGCTGCAAGCCCCTCTAGACCCAAATAAACTCTGCTTTGGAGAACTGGTCTCCCTGCTGCTCATGTAGAGTTTAGACACCTCCAAGGATGACACACATTGATCTGCTTTGGTATAGATTTCAAACACAACTCTCTTTTGTTTGAGCTGAGTTTGAATTGGGCTTCAAAAGAATACAGAATAAAATGCTATAATAATATTACAAACATCTGTCCAGTAAGTCCCCATGTGCTTGATAAAAACACCACTGCCACTGTGTAGAGCCTTCTTTTTCACACAATGTGATAGACATACTGCATGGCTGGTTTAATTTATTTTGTATATTTTATCTCATTTACCTTCATTACTCACTATTCATCTCTAAGATTTCTTAGTTTTTTTTTTAATGTTCAAGAACTGATCTTTGAAGACAATTTTATAAATAATAATTTCTCAAAAATGAGTGTCTAATAGCTATGGAAATTTAGGTGGATGGTCAAACTGTAACATGAAAATAGATGGTGTAACTCTACCAGATCACAGAGACAACAGAGACAGTGGTAGGTCTGCCCAGGGTCACCTGCAAAGGAAATCTATCTACACTGTAAGAAGCCCCTAAAAAGCAGGGAACGATAAACTGACAGAGACAAATGTCAGACCTCAGCAAAGAACCAGACAAAAGCTTTCTAATTAAAAACATCTGCTGAGTCATCAAAAATATCTGCAATACAGTGTGTGTGTATGCACACGCATGCATGCACAAGTGTAATGTACATGCACATGTACGTCAGAAGACAACCTGGGTCATTCCTCAAACTTTGTCTATTTTTTTTTTTTGGTAGAGTTTGCTAAGTAGACTGGACTGGTTATCAGCAGTCCCAGGGATCCACATATCTCACCACCCCAAGACTGCAAGTGTACAGCCTCATTCTCCAATTGTTCTTTTTGTTTTGTTTTGTTTTGTTTTGACATGGGTTCTGGAGAGGAAATGTGGGTTGTCTTTACTAACTGAGCCGTCTCCCAGCTCTGTATCACATTCTTAAGGCATGTCTTTGGCAGATGTTCCAGAAATGTGCATTTTCTGAGGAACTCCCAATTCAAAGGAACTTATCTATTAATGAGGAGACTCTCTCATCGGTGCAAAGGAGCAAAGACCCAGAGCAGAGTTAGAACAACAAGCTGTCTTGCACATCTCACACTAGGATTAAATGGGCTCTGCAGTCTGGAGACTCGCCTTCTAAAACAAGTTTTGCATTGGCCTTTCTTTTCCATTGGTCATGCTTATGAACAGATCAGGCACAGGTTTAAGCTTGTCTGCTACTAAAAAAAAGCTCTCTTTTAATTAGATACTATTGGAGTCCATGAAGGAAACTGGGGAGTGGTCCACTGCTCTCAGCAGTCTGAAGACTTAGTCAATACCATCAAGTGGGTCCCTGGTCTTCCTAGGGCCAGGAGACAGGGTTTGGAAATGAAATTCCAGGGCACACATCATCTGTAAAATGACTGGTACTGACACTTCATACTTCAGAGATAATGGTATATAAACTTTTCTGAGTTTCACTGAATAGTATTCCTAAACTTACTGGCTCTATTCTTCTAACATTTAATCAGAGTTCAGTTTAAATATGGATCCTGTTATGTGTGGAACTACAAGAGTCATGACTCTTGATGCATATCCCCAAGTTTGTCAATTACTATTTTTAAATACATATAATGTATAATTAGATAGATAAAACTATTAGTAAAAAAGACATCAAATCTAAAACACCCTTAATGAAAAAGCAAAGATCAAGCTACCAAAAATATTGGAACAAAATGTACAAACTTATATTTTAAAACTTCTTATAAATCAATAAGGAAAAACCATTATTCACCTAGTAGAAAAATGAACAATGAGCAAGTAGGAAAAGGGTTGACCACATCGCAGCAAGAAGGTCAAGTGAACACAACAGAAATAGAACATCATTTTCACCTCTCAAAATGGTTCCCCAAAAGGAGCTGATTATTTAATTTTAGAAAGAACTCAAATAAATACTTTATTCATCCATTATTTTTAACTTCATGATCCTTCCAGAGTACACACACACACACACACACACACACACACACACACACACACACACCACACACCTTTTATACAAAGGAGTTCATTCTAAGGAAATATGAATATTTGAAAACTTGAACTGTATAGATATTCTATGAACCTTTCTTAGTGGGGAAAAATAAATTTAAATGTTCAACAGGAACTAAAAGACAGAGAGAGGACTGTGTAAAGTGGACAGGGACTGTGTATAGTGGACAGGGACTGTGTATAGTGGACAGGGACTGGGTACAGTGGACAGGGACTGTGTATAGTGGACAAGGAATTGTGTAAAGTGGACAGGGACTGTGTATAGTGGGCAGGGGACTGTGTAAAGTGGACAGTGAACTGTGTAAAGTGAATAGGGAACTGTGTAAAGTGCACAAAGAGTGTGTAAAGTGAAGAGCGACTGTGTATAGTGGACAGGGACTGTGTATAGTGGACAGAGACTGTGTATAGTGGACAAGGACTGTGTATAGTGGACAAGGGACTGTATTTTGTGGTCAGGGGACTGTGTAAAGTGGACAGAGACTATGTAAAGTGAACAGCGACTGTGTATAGAGGACAAGGACTGTGTATAGTGGACAAGGGACTGAGTATAGTGACAAGAACTATGTAAAGCCATTCAAAATGAAACAAAACAGAAGACTATGTGATGCTATTAAAGAAAGTGACCTTCACTTTGTGGCAAGCAGGAAAAGGAGATTCATACCCTGACAGTGCAACATATGCGCGCGCGTGAGTGAGTGCGTGTGTGTGTGTGTGTGTGTGTTACTGGGGAGTGAAACCAGACCCTGAGTGTGCTAGGCAAGTGCTCTACCACTGAGTTATAATACTCCTAGTCCTATTTGTAAACACTTTAAATATAAAGGCCACACCTCATGTCAACAGTATTATTTATAGACAGTAACAATATAGGCACTTTTCTGTTTGACATTTCAGTTGTTTTATTTTTCTGCTTGTTTATTCAAAGAAATCACACCCACCTCTAAAGAATCGGATTTTTATAAGGACAACATGAATCCACAGAGAGACTAAGTGTGAACGCACTTAGCGGAATTCGATTCTCTTCTATATGCAAACAGTGCCACTCACACAGCTACTGAGGCGCAACGGCAGCGGATGACAGCTCCCAGATTTAACTACCACATCCTCAAAAGCCTTCCTCTTGGTTATGGAGAAATAATTTTCAGTGTTTGAAGAAAAACACATGCACCAGTACCAGTTATATCTGAGTCAAAGCAAGGGATTTTATTCATGCAGCATTTAAAAAATGGAGAAAAAAAATCACAAGAGCCGGGAAATGAATATGTAGGAGACATCAGAAAACAATCCATCATTTAGGGGACATGTCTTCTGGTAAATAAAATCTGCGTGGGGGCAGGTCCAGACCAATTCTGAGTGACATCAGTAAGTTGTTCCTCTGTGTCAAAGTTCTCCCATGTGGAAACAGACATCACTTGGGAGAAAAGTATTAAGCCACTTTGTATTTTAATGACACTCCCAACTCATTTTCCCCCCACATAAAGTAATTACAAATTCCTCTGAATTAAAAGCATGTAGCTCAATTATGTAATTGCCTATGAGGTTCTGCGGGTGCTGACAGATCTTATCTGGTCTCCAGGGGACAGTGAATTTCTATGGCTTTGGTCATGTGTTTACTCAAGAGAAGGGACTGACTGCAGCTGACAGAACAGGAACCCACAGGTAAACATCATTTACATGTGGCTGTTTAATTAGCCATTTCCCCGAGAGACAAAGAAAATACTTCGGGGCTTCATTAGACCTTACATTTCCTAATGGAGCATTCTTAAATTTTCAAAATTACTTAAGTTTAAGATTTTCTCTAAAGAGAGATATTGAACCCATTGTATCTACTAAATATCTATCCTGTTTCAATACACAGACACAACTCCAACACTCTATTTAGCTAATCATGGAAGGAGGATGAGGGCTAGGGGCAGGGTATAGAGTAATGAAAAACATGTGTTTAACATGAACAAGACTCTGGGTTCAATTCCCAGCATCACATACACTTGTGCGCCCCTGTACACACACACACACACACACACACACACACACACACACACACACACACACACACACACACAGAGAACAGCTTCAGAAACTACTAAAGCATTTTGTATGGAAGCTTATGGGCATGCCATCATTTTGGTACTAACACTGTTCCTTGGAATTGTAAATTTCTTCAGCTACATCTACATGTTTGAGAAACTGCTTGTTTACTCCAATTTTTAGGGACAAACCATCCTAGCCCTGCTCAAAGGCCTGCAGCAGTGTTTCAAACACCAGGAGATAAGGAAACCCTCTTCTGGCTTCCATAAGTACCTGAATTCACTTGCACATACAAACAATTAAAAACAAAATAATTCTTAAAAAAAAAAAAGAATGGTTCTATTGCCTCATATGTGTTGGGTTTCCTCGTCTGTTCATTGGTTCCCAACAATTCTTCCCTGTCACCCCAAACATCTTCTCCAGTCTCACTTTGTCAAAAGCCAATTTCTAAAGGGTCACACCTTACATGTCCCTATACTCCTTCCATCAAAAGCTCTCCTTCACTGCTTCTCCAGGTAGCTGGGCTCCCTTTCTGAAGGCACACATCTTTGCCGTTTTATTATGTGCATCCTGGTAACCAGCCCTCAGAAGGAGAGGGTCACATTGCACATATTTCTTTTCTTCCAATGGATCTGGGCTAGTGTATAATAATGGATCAAAAACATAATTGTTGGCTTAACATTAATGACTTTATAATATTTTAAAGTATGGCATACAGACAGAAAACCATAATGTTACAGATGCTTCTAAACTCTGAAAATGTTATGGTAGATATACTTAAGCTACCTCTGGGAATTAGCATTAAGTCAGAGTTAGGTCCTTCCACAAAACATGTAAAAGGTTGAAGATCAGAAAGTTCATGAAACCTCACTTACCAGTTACCATTTTTTCAAATATGTTTATCATATGCTATTTCCCCAAACAAATAGCTTGTATACTCTTGGAACTTAGCTAAATAAAAGTTACTACTAACCCTAGCCCTTGGTTATGACTAAGAAAATAGCCTCACTACATACCTCTTCTTTAGAAGAATTATCACGTTCCTTCATACACTGTCCTTGTGTCTTCAGTAAGTGCCAATCTGGTACTTGTTCAGATCTGTAAAACAGAAATGGGAGACACACTGTAGATCTTTAAACATGTTGAAATGAGTGAACTAGAAGATTCCCATATTTTTTGGGTTTTTTTTGGTTGTTGTTTTGTTTTTTTTGTCTTGGTTTTTCAAGACAGGGTTTCTCTGTGTAACAGCTCTACCTGTTCTGGAACTTGCTTTGTAGATCAGACTGGCCTTGAACTCACAGAGATCCACCTGACTCTGCCTCCTGAGTGCTGGGATTATAGGCGTGTGCCACTACATCCCAGCTAAAATTCCCTTTTTTTTGGATTTTCGAGACAGGGTTTCTCTGTGTAGTTTTTGGTGCCTGTCCTGGAACTCACTCTGTAGACCAGGCTGGCCTCGAACTCACAGAGATCCGCCTGGCTCTGCCTCCCGAGTGCTGGGATTAAAGGCGTGAGCCAGCACTGCCCGGCCTGATTTCCATATTTTTTAAAGGCCTTTAAACTAAAGTTTCTAGAACAACATTTATCAAGAAAAGTCTGAAACCTAACATATTTGAGACAAAAAAAACCCTGTCCAAATCCTCGTGGGGGGGTGTGTGTGTGTGTGTGTGTGTGTGTGTGTGTGTGTGTGTGTGTGTGTGTATGTGTGATGTCCGGTTGTGCGCACTTGTGTGTGCACATGTGGAGGTCATTGGCCATCAGGTGTCTTCTATTACTCTCCATGCTAATTTTTGAGGCGAGGTCTCTCAATGAATCTGGAACTTGCTGTTCCAGTAGACTGGCTCTCTGGTGAGTCCCCAGGATCCACATATATCTTTACCTGATGCCATTAAGTTATCTTTCCAAGCCCCTCTTTTTTAAAAAGTTATGATGTCATTGCTAATAAGCACTCTCAACTTGGACTGCACATAGAAATAGCCAAGAAGCTTTGCAAGTCTAGCTACCTAATGCCAATCCTACTGAGCCTCACAAAATGGTCTATACTGCAACCTAGACACAGTATATTTTAAGACTCAATGTATAATTCTAAAGCACAGGCATGTACCCTAGAAGTATGATATAATCTGTAAACGACATCAGGCACATCTCCATCTCAACAACAGCTTTTCGTGACATTTTTATTATGACTTACTTACAATTAAAATAATTAAGGTACTATTATGGAAGAGCTAAGGGGGGAAGTGTGAGCTGCAACAGCACCAGTTGTTATACTAAAAGGCAGCTCCTTAAAGAGAGGCCCCCTTCCAGTCTGGTTGCAGGAAACTCATCAGATGAACCCAAACCATCACGCAGTAACAGAAACTAAGGATGTTCCCAACAATCACTGAGGAGTGTCAAAGGACTCAGCTTGTTCTGAAAGGGTTCCCACAAGCTGACGGAGGAAGAACTTGACCAGCAAAAGGGATACTGACTGCAATGCACTAAAAACACAATAAATTCATAAAAACCCATGGGTTCATTTAAAAATAAATATAAACAAAATTAAAAAAAACTTTTGGACTACACACACACACACACACACACACACACACACACACACACACTGGGATGTGGAGGGGGGTATTATTTGAAGTAGCTATAAATAATCTAGGATGCAATAGTGGATCCAGAAGTGAGAGAAAGCATGTACTATTTTTCTGAGTCTGGCTATTTTGAATAATAAGATGATCACCACCCGTATTTATTTCCCATCAAAGAACATAATCATTTCATTCTTTATGGTGGAATAAAACTCCACTGCATATATACTACATTTCGTTTATCCATTATCTGTTGTCAGACACCTACGCTGATTTCATAACAGCGACCATGAAGGGCTGCAGCAAACACTCACGCACAAGCGTCTGTGTGGTATGCTGACAAGAGTCCTTTGGACACATACCCAGGAATGGTGGAACAGGGCCCTACGGTAGCTCTATCTCCAGTGTTTTAAGGAGCTTCCATAATGATTTCCATAGTGGCTGGACCAATGTTCATTTCTACCACTAGTATAAGAGTTCCTCCTTCCAACCTTCCCCATGCCCTACATCCTTGCATTTGTGTTTGCTTAGTGACAGCCAATCTCACCGGGTGAGATGGATGCTCAGTATAGTTTTAATTGCATTTCCCTAATGGCTAAATATGCTGAACTGTTCTTCATGTGTGTACTGGCCCTCTGTACTTCATCTTTTGAGAACCTTCTATTGTGTCTTTAATGACTGTTTTTTAAGTAGTTCTCTGGAGTTCTTTACATATCTTAAATGTTAACTCTGTCAGTTGATAGCCAGCAAAGTTTCTCCTGTTCTGCAGACACTTCTTTACTTGATAACTTCCTTTGGTATGTGGCCGTTTTGGTTCATGCAGTAACAATACCGAGTCACTGGTGTCCTTTCCAGAGAGTCCTTGCTTTGGCCTACACCTTGAGGTTTCCCCTCCCTATATAGCTTTCTCTAACCGTTTCCAACTTTCAAGTGTTACACTGAAACACTTAAATTGATTTTTTTTTTCCTTATGGTGAGAGAGAGGACTCAAGTTTCATTGTCTATGTGCAGATATCCAGTTTTCTAGAACCATTTGTTGAAGCAGCTGTCTTTTCTCCAATGTACATTTTTGGATCAAACAGACTCCATGAAATTATTTTGATTTGCTTGTATTTGTTAAGAATTGCTTTGTGTTTGCCAATGTCTTCAGTTTTATGAGCTGCTGCATTCTATAGTGTCTGAATGGGATGCTATAAAGAGTTCTGTTAAGTCATTGGATTATATAATGTCATTTAGCTATGCTATCTATTTGCTAAATTTTAAAAGATCAGAAAAATTAATTTTGGGTGTGTTCATGAACGTGCATGCATGTACAGGTACTTATGAGGCCAGAGATATCAGATCCTCTGGAACTAGAGTTACAGATGGCTGTGAGTCACCTTGTGGGTACTGAGAACACCTAAGTTAGACTGTCTAGAATAGTAGGAAGTGCCACTGAGCCCTATCTTTGTTAATTTTTCTGGTCTACATGACCTGTCTATTGGTAAGGGTGGGGTACTGAAGTACCTATAATTAGTGTTGAGGACAATTTTGACTACATCCTGCAGGCTACCAGCACAGAGGTCAAGCCTGGTGAGCCTCAGGGTTGTAGACATAGAGGGCAGGGAGGTATGCAGCAGCCAGGATCTCACACAGAACCTGCTCCTGGATGCCCTGCATGGCTGCAACATTACCCTGACTCTGGGCAAGAGCAGGATATTCACGACAAGTCTTGGCAATAGTGCAATATTTATAGGGCTTCAGAAACTAGAAACCTTGAATCAGACCAATGACTCACTGCAATGAATATCTGCATGCAAAGCTGTCTGGGCAAATATCTATACACACAATGTGACACACTGTAGTTTCCAATGCCACTACGAAGAACAAATATTTGATGGAGGGTTGGGAAAGGTAGAGGAGCAGTGAGTTAATGGTGGAGAGAGGCAGAACTAGAGACTCAATGGAGGTGATAGGTCTGATAGAAGGCTGTGGTGGACAGGGGAACACGTCCTTGCCACAGAGGGCCAACAGGGTGGTGTGCAGCAGGCTGGAGCTTGCAGTACAACTTAGCTCCCCTGAACACACTGCCCAGCTGCACTATCACCCTGGTTCTTAGCAACAACAGGATGTTCAAATGAAGAAAGGTTCATTTTCTGGATTGGACCTCCTCAAAGGACCTCTATGGTCCATGTTGCCACTGGAGGTCACTTTGGAATGTGTGGCTCACTGCCCCAGGCCATGTTGAAGCCAGGGGTTCATGTGGATGTCCATGGTCCTACAGCAGCTCAGAGCCCTTTTGATGCCCCTGGCCCAAGTTACCATGTTGATGTAAGTAACCTGTGCAGCCAGCTGAGGCCACGTTGACATCTGTGGTCTGTGCTGTCACGAAGGACCATGTCTAGGTCCATGGTCCTACTGTAGCCAGGGTCTGTGTTGATGTCCAAGGCTCATGTTACCATTGAAGGTCATGCAATGTCTGTGGTCTATGCTACAGCCTAAAGCCATATTGATGTGAGTGGCCTGTACTGCCATCTGAGATCATGCTGATGTCCTTGGCCTGTGCTGCTGCTGAGGGCTATGATGGGGTCCATGGCCCATGCAGCAGCAGAAGGCTGTATCGATGTCCGTGGTCTGTACTGCCACTAGAGACCACGTGGATGTTCGTGGTCCATGCTGTCATCAGAAACTATGTAAGTTCATGATCCATGTTCCTGCTAACTGTAAAGGGCAAGGAAGCTACTTCTGCCATGGTACTGATGACTGCAGACTCATAGTTGAGAAGGAGGTACACAGGTTTCTGTGACAAGTTTTACTCCCACCCACCCTCCAAAAAATAATAGCCTAGACAGAAAGCCATCAAACTCTTAAAAATTGTGATAAAGATGCTGAAACATAGCTCTTCACAGCTGATGCCTTCTGGTAGGAGGTGTAGGTAGGGAAGGACTCAGTTTTCTTAAAGGGGCTGGCCACTAAGAGTTTAGCCATGCTCCAGTGGGTACATGGGCAACACAAATTGGACTTTTCTTTTTCTTCTTTTGTTGAGGGGGGGAATATCCCAAGGGTGGGGGGCAGAATTGGGAGGACTGGGAAGTGAGTGTGCTCAGGGTTCATGATATGAAATTCCCAAATAATTAGTAAAAGTATTATGAAAAAAAAAACTGTATTGAGAGAAATGCACAGAACAAAGTAACCTACAACATTCACATTAGATATTAAATGGTATCTGGTCTATGGGGTCACTCACCTGAGTACAGACATGGACTATTTCTAGCCATCTTGCTTTTCCTTTTCTGGCTATGTGTCAGAACCTCTGCGGTACTATACTTCCTCTGCTGATCTTTGTGTTGTTGGCCCCTAAATCACAGGGTAGGGTACATAGGCTGGGCAGTGGGTATCATAACTAGAGGCGTCTTTCCGTCTCTAGGACATGAAAGGCTGTAAGCAAGCTTTCTGCTGGCATTCCTTAGGTCCTAGCACCTGTAACCCCTGTCACTGCTTGTCCCTTTTCTAGAGACCTAGTGGGTTTCACCATAGTCT